TGGCTTCCATTCTACTTCTGAGTACTAATCTATAAGTTAACCGTCACTCTCTTGAAGGCAGTCTGTTTTGTCTTTCTTGATGCTTTTAAGGTCTTGTCTTCAGTTTTATGTTCTTAGGTTACACTATATTGCGTCTAGTTTGGGGTTTTATTTATCTTCCATTGGATCTGTTGGACTTCTTGAATCACAGATATTTTAAGTTATTTCTTTAAAACTCTCTGCCTTTGTCTCTTACTATTGCCTCTGCCCCAGTTCCTCTCTCACCTCTTCTTCTGTGATCCTAGTTACGTGTATGCTATACTCCCTCACTCTTTCTTCCGTGTCTCTTAACTATTATTTCACATTTTCATATGTTTTATCCCTATGCTATATTATAGATAATTTCTTTTCATTTTGCCAAGTATTTTAACTTTACTAATTCTCTCTTCATCTGTATCTAGTTGGCTGTGAAGCCAATCCGTTGAGTTTTAAATTTCATAGTTTTTCTTCTAGAGTTTATATTTTATTTCAATTCAACTACGTGACTTTTTTTTGCAATTTCCTGGTCCCTTTATTATTGTCATGTTTTTAAAAATAACTTTAATAATTGTAAAAATAGTTATTATAAATTTTGTATCTAGTAATTCCAATGTCTGAAATATTTGCTATGTCTTTTCTGCTGTCAGGTGATTCCCCTGGTTTTTGTGTATGGTATTTTGCTTCCTTGTGTACTTAGTGATATACAAGTGGGCTATCTTATTTTAATTTCAAAAAGAATTTTTTGGAATTCTCTGAAGTTTACTATGAAGGTATGTTCTGTTACATAGGATGTGTATGTATTTCTCCCCAGCCTCTGGGAGGTCAAAGTAGTTTGAGTCTACTCTAAACAAATTTGTTTGAGGTTAGGGGCTCACCCAGCTTAATGCTAATTTGGATTGCAATTCTGTATGAAGGCCAGCTTGTGGTTATAGTTTCTCACGGATTTTTTTCCCCATGTGCTTCTCTGCTAAGTGCTAAGATACCTTTTTCTTAAAATTTTCTGGGGGTGGGATTGTGGGATGCTTTTGTATATGGTACACCCTTACACTGAAGAAGTTGTGAAACAAGAATCTCAAATTCCCCAAGTTTGGGAAATGCCCTCTGGGCAAAAGTAGTTTTATTGGTCAGTTTACTGGGGTTTTTCCCCCACCTAGATTTTGTCCTGATAAATCCTATTGTTCTTCCTTTTGATGCTTTTAAGATATTTTACATTTTTTCAAGCATTTTTAGTTTTTTTAAACAGGGATATCAGTCTGGATACCTAACTAACCACATTATTGGGATATTTATTATTTCTCTATGCCATTATTTTGTAGTATATATCTTGGAACACCAGAATCAGAATTACCTAGAGGTGTTTATTAAAATTTCAAATTCTGGTAGCCAGCCTCAAGCTTACTGAAACAGAATCTCTAGGATGGGGCTCTAGTCTCTGAATTTTTGTTACCTTCTTTAAGTGATCCTATTGCATACAGAGGTTTGCTTTTATTTGTAATTTGAAGTCTCATATCTGGTATTTTTTAATTGTAGGAGCCTGAGATCTAAATTTATTGTTTTCTGTACTTGTCCTAGCACCATATGTTGAACAATCAGTTATTTTCACATCTATTTGGTATGCCAACTTTTATCACGTAGTGAATATATGTGTGTGTGTGCACACAAATCTGTTTCTAGCCTTTCTATTTTGGTCCATTGAGTTGCCTATTCTTTGAGCAATACCATACTGTTTTAATTATCGTAGGTTTATGATGTGTTTTACTACATAATAATAAAAAATATTCCTTACTTTTCATTTTGTTATTTTCTCCCACACTAAAAAATTTAAAATATTACTGGAGTTGCATCATTTTCTTGCTTTAACAGTCTTCAGTGACTTTGTAGAATTAAATAGTTTTTCCACAGTTTTTGAAAGTAATTTTTTGCTTTATCCCCTACTGTAGTTTTATCATATGGACTTAAGAAGTCCTTTAGACTGAGGTACTTAATGTTTGTTTCACCTGGCTCTTTGCTCACACAAATTTTATGTTTTAATCTTAATGCTTAGTGTGGTCACTTTTATTCTAGATATCTTTCTGCCCATCTTTCAAAATTGAAGTCAAGTTTTGTTTTTTTGTTTTTTTTTACTACAGAGCTGGTATGTATACTTCAAGGCTCAAGGGAATTCTCTTTCATGACTTTGATAGCAATTCTTGACTATACTACCCGTTTTTACGTGGTAAATCTTACTGAATCACAGACTGTAAAAGCTGGAAGTCACCTAAAGAGATCATATTGTCTGTCTCTGTCATTTTACCAAAGAAAAAAACAAACCCTGGAGTATGAGAGTGACTTGGCCATACTGTCCTAATGATTTAATTCCTAAGGTAAACTCAAGATGTATTTCTTGTATTTTAGAGCTCTTTTTATTACTGTTGTCTGCTATATCATTATTCCATTGTATTTACATTTGTTTTAATTTGTTTCAGCCTAGTTTTTTTTAACTAGATTGGAAGTTCCTTGAAGGCAGCACCCATATCTAAACATGTTTTTGTACAATTCATTGCCCTAATATTGTGCTTTGTGCTTGTTAGGCACCTAATTAATATTAATAGATGTTGGTAAAAAACAAGTTGTTCCAGTAACCAGATGTCAAATTGGGGCTATTTCCTTGTGGGCATCACCATTATAACTGTATGGAAAGTGGCATCTAGTGGTTGGTGTGTGTATTACAATTGCGTTTTTTTTTAAGCCCCTGTGTACCAGAGTCATTATCGTAACCTAGGTGGAATAAATAGAATATAAATTAAATTTTTAGATTGAATTCAAAGAAATTTGTCCGTAATTACCAAATGTTTTGAGTAGTGATCTCATTATAACTACATATTAAGTAATAAAGAAGTGCAAAAGATGAAATTACTAATGTTTAAGAAAAATACTGTATAAAATTACTTCAAAAATCACATGCAAGAGTATTTAAAGCTTTATTGTTTATTTATAAATTATATTAGGAGTTGGAGGATATTGTTGGATACTGAGAAGTCAGAAATACAATTAAAAGAAAAATCACGTAATGTCTTCTCCATGTTAATGAAATCCTATTAAGCTATTGCTTTACATTATTCCCAGGAGCTTAATTTGTATTTTAAAAAGGAAGATCTTTTAATGAAAGATCAAAATGGAAAGTCACACCATCTTTTACTTACAACACCAAAAAACTGTGAACATATATTTACATATAATGTGCAGACATACATTCCAATGTCAAATGTTAATTATTCTCAGATTTACAACCATTTTTGTTTATCACTATGCTTTACTCCTTCATTAATGCATGTAATTGAGTGTTGATAATATGCACAATCTAATTCAGTGAATATGACCATTGACAGTTCTTATCTTGTGATTCAGTTTCTTCTAAAATTTGTAAGTTTGCACTTTGTAATCTAGAATTCATGTTTGCACAAAACAATATTATATATCTTAAATTAATCTCTGTTCCTGACACACTAATGAAATTTTTGTGTATGGGATTATCTGTCCCATTAGAGAGCAATACTGTACTGACTTTGTATCTCTCCCTGCACCTAACATAACATAGTGGCTGGCACATAACAGATGGTCAATAAATATGTGTTGAATTAGTTATATATATTAGAAGGAATTGTGTCTTATTCATATTTAGTGCCTAACAAGTTTTCTGGCGTCAGTAATGCTCAGTTCATGTTTGATGAGTGTATAAGTCTGAATAAGTTTATTTAACCTGTTATGTTGTTGACATATAATACTAAAACCAAAGTGTATAACCTAATCACCTATGTATAGTAAATAATGACTGTGTAAGAGACTTTCAGTTAGAAATGTCAGGAGCACATCTTTTACTGAAACAGCCTTTTGCAGTGATAGTGAGAGATTCGCCCCAACATCAAGCCATTCTTGTTTGCTCTTATAATCAGGAAAAGGAGTTCCAGCATAAGGGTGGCTTCTAGTTGCGGCTGAGTCAGTTTGAAGTTATGACTAGAAGGATGAGGTCAGTACTTTGATAAGGATTGGGAAAGGTATTCTGGTAGTGATTGGAATAAAGGAAAGCATGGAGTGTCGGGAGAGAGGCTAAGGTTCTTTTTAAGTCATAGACTTTCAAGGCTGAGCATTGATAAACATTATTTGGTATTTACATCACATAAAAGTTTCTCTTACTTGATGAGAAGCATACCACCTTATTGTACATAAATGCTGAGCCATCTACATATGTCAAACTAATTACTATTTGTTTTTCTAAGCAGTTCAGCTTCATGCCAGATTAAAGGATAGTTCTGGATGGCAGAAGTCATCTACTGTCTTCTTGTTTTCCTTATTTACAGGAAGATATTTTTCTGGCTTCAGGACCTCAATTTCTGATATGAGTGAATCAACTTGTTAGCAGTGGCTGCTTAGAACATGTAGGCTGTAGGAACAGCATTTGTGGTAAAGCTTGGAGCTGTTAAGATTGAGCTACTAGTGATGAAGAGAGTGGGAGCCACGAAAAGAAAGGTGGTAAAAGATAGTATTTATTTTATGCTCCATGACTGCTTATCTATGCAGAGAAGCAAGCAACTTCAAGTGGGAGGCATCCGTGTCTAGTTGCTAAGGTCATTGCTAATATAGATTAAGAGTTAGGAAAATAAAGGAGTTCCTAAGAGCTTGGACAAGTAGCAAATTATATTACAGGGAAGTTGTGTGAATTTCTTTTTTATTTTTAACATCTTTTTTTTAAAGATGCTTTTCACTTTAAAATAATAAAAATTACATTTGCTCATTGTGAAAAGTTCAAACAAAAATGTATACAATAAAAGGAGAAAGCTTCCCCAGAGGTAATCATTATTTGCAATTTGGTATATATCCCTTCAGATATTTTTCTGGTATTTGTTTTACAAGTTTGGATTGTTGAATCTAGTTGAGCTGTAAGTCACATTCTGGTTTTGAGGTTCATATTTAATGATTTTCCTTCCTCTTTCTCTTCCTTATAGGCGTGCTATGGATGTTCTCCAGGATCAAAGTGTGACTGTAGTGGTGTAAAAGGAGAAAAGGTAAGATCTGATATGGGCCTTCAAAAATTAAGTAAAACAAGTAAAATAGTGTTTTTAATATTTAAAAAAAAAACAAGGTGTCTACCTTGGCATCTAAATAAATAAAATGAATTGTACTATACTGCTTACTTTAGATAGCTGTGAGAATTAGACTATATCTCAGGAATCAGCAAGCATGCTTTGTAAAAGACCATATAGTATATATTTTAGGTTTGATGGGCCACACAAGGTTCTGTCACATATTTTTCTCTCATTTCTTTTTTAATCACCCTTTAAATGTGTGGAAAAAATGTTCTTAGCTCTTGAACTATACCATCAGTCTTCTGATTGCATTTAGTCTACGACCTATAGTCTGCCAACCTCTGATCAATCTTACTGAAATCACTGACTTGATAAGCAAAGAAGAGAAAAACACTTAAAAAGGAACCAAGCACTTATCAGGCTACTAATCTGTGCTGAATACCATGCTAGGCAATTTCATGTATTTTTATCTAGTCCTTGTAATTTAATGATTGGTGAATCTCTATTTTTATCTCACTTTTTTCACAGCTGCACCCTTATTGTATAGATATGATGATTACAAAGTAAGTATTGGTGATGATTAAATAGCATAAACCTGGCCACTATGATTCAGTAACTGATATTGAAATTAGAAAATTAAAAAGGGGTAATGGGGGCTGGCGCAGTGGTCTAATGGTTATGTTCACATGCTTCACCTTGGTTGCCCAGGGTTTGTGGGTTTGGATCCCAGGGCATGGACCTACACACTGCTCATCAAGCCTTGCTGTAGTGGCATCCCACATACAAAGTAGTGGAAAATTGGCACACATGTTAGCTCAGGGCCAGTCTTCCTCACCAGAAAAAAAAAGGGATGATGAGTTGTGGCCTAAGGAGAGTTATACTAGGATAAAGGGGATCATACTTTAATCTCCATTCTTTGAGGCTCAATAAGTATTTTTGAATGAATTAGTGAATGTTATTGATTATAACTTGGTTGCTTCCAAGTTTTGACACCTCTGAATAAAGCTGCTATAAACATCTGTGTGCAGATTTTTGTGTGGATGTGAGTTTTCAACTCTTTTGAGTAAATACCAAAGACTTCTATTGCTGGATCATATGGTAAGAGTATGTTTAGTTTTGTAAGAAACCACCAAACTGTCTTCCAAAGTGGCTGTAGCATTTTGCCCTCCCACCAGCAGTGAATTAGAGTTTCTTTTGCTCCATAGCCTTGTCAGCATTTGGTGTTGTCAGTGTCCTAGATTTTGGCCATTCTGAGGGGTTTGTAGTAGTATCCCATTGTTCTTTTAATTTGCATTTCCCTGATGACTTATAATGTGGAACATCTTTTCATATGCTTATTTGCCATCTGTATATCTTCTTTGGTGAGATGTCTGTTAAAAAAGTCTTTGGCCCATTTTTAAATTAGGTTGTTTTCTTATTGTTGAGTTTTGAGTTCTTTGTATATTTTGGATAATAGTCTTTTATCAGATGTGTCTTTTGCAAATATTTTCTTCCAGTCTTGGCTTGTCTTCTCATTCTCTTGACATTTGTCAAGAGACATTTGTCTTTCACAGAGCAGAAGTTTTTCATTTTATTGAAGTCCAGCTTATCAATTATTTCTTTCATGGATTGTGCCTTTGTTGTATCTAAAAAGTCATCGCCACACAAAATCATCTAGGTTTTCTCCTATGTTATCTTCTAGGAGTTCTATATTTTACATTTAGGTCACTGATCCATTTTGAGTTATTTTTTGTGAAGGTGGAAGGTCTGTGTCTAGCTTAATTATTTTTTTGCACAGAATGTCCAGTTGTTTCAGCACCATTTGTTGAAAAGACAAGGAAATTTTTGTGAGTGATGGATATGTTCAATATTTTGATTGTCACATATGTGACAGAAATTTTCAAATTGCATAGCTTAAATATGTGCAATATATTGTATGTTAATTTTACCTCGATAAAACTGCTTTTAAAAAGTAAGTTTAACACAGAAATGATAAAACATAGATTCCGCTGAAGGAATGTGTCCAAGTGCACACTGCTAAAATCAAACAAAACTCACCAGACTCGCAATGACAATGAGAAATTAACCAGATGACATCCTAGCATTCATGTCACAGTAAAACATTACCTAAACAAAGTGTGCCCCCATGTGTATGGTGATGGATGGTAATCAATCTTTGGGTGGTAAACATGATGTATCTGCACAGAAATCAAAATATAATGATGTACACCTGAAATTTACATGATGTTACAAACCAATGTTACTGCAATAAAAAAAAAATAAAAATTTAAAAATTAAAAAATAAAATAAAAAATAAATTAGCAATACATTGTAAACATTTAGACCACAGAACAAGTCAATGCAGTCAGTTACCAAGGGGAATCTCATGCATCCAGTTAATACTGAAGGGTTTCCTAAAATCTTACTTATATTTTCTAATAATTTATTTTTTATGTATTTTTTCCTGGGGTGCCTTGATGAAGATATATTATGACACAATGAGTAATTGGTAAGCATTATGCCTTTTGAAGGTTTCCTAGGTTTTTATTTGGCAGCCTGTACATTTTCTTTGGAACAAAGCCTGGCTTCTGAAGATTTGCATACTTGATCAAAACACATTGTTTTGGCCTCTCATAGACTGACTTTATTGAACTCATTTTGTCACCGTGTCACACAATTCATTGAGGGGCATATCATTAACAAATGTATGAAACTAAAAAGGAAAAAAACCCAAAAAGTAAAACAACAAAGCATGCCCCTCTACCAGTGACATCAGCATTTACTGGGAGCTTGTTAGGAATGCAGATTCCTAGGCTCCATAGCAGAACTACTCAATCTAAAATTGGAGGTAGGGCCAGATAATCTGTGTTTTAACAAGCTATCCAAGTGGTTCTGAAACAAGCTAAAGTTTGAGATTTTCTGACCTAGATTATCTCCATTTTGACAGTTGCCAAAGATACATGTTCTTGTTCTCCCAGTTATATTACATCAAATATTTCTTTGTGATATATAATTACAAAAACAAAACAGAAAATACACAAAAAGAGGGTGAAATTGCCCATAATTGCATTACTTAATTAAATCATTGTTTTCATTTGTCCAGTAAGGGTATTGCCTTACCCATATTTTTATATAATTTTTACATTTTTACAATATTAAAATCCAAAATAATTTAAATCTCAATTGTCATTATAGCAGTTTGTCCTAATTTTTATTTTTCCTATCCTCAGAAATCTGACATTTTTCCTTTAATTTCATGTCTTCCTTGAGAACCTATTCTTAAAATATTTTTTTCTCATTTCCATGATCATGTAACTTTCTTATTGTGATGATAAAGTGCCTTTCCTGTAAAATCATAGCATTTTTATGGGTGCCTTTGACTCACAAACTAGGCTCTACTTATAATTAATCAGTCTGTTGTCTTTCTTTTTAATACTGGCTTGTGGTAGATAAATCAGCTTTATCACAAAAAGTCATCCTTTGTACCTTTGTATAATTTCTCCTAACCCGACTCATTTTTTTTTCTGAAGTCTGGGCAAAAGCATGTGCCATGAATTTTATATATTCCATTAAGGAAGTTCATTCATTGAATATTTACTGAGTATTTTTTCTGTTAGGCACTAAGAATACAGTAATGAAGATAACATGATTGAGTAGATGAAGGGGTAATGGAGAGAGTGGAGTCAAGATTATTACAAATTTCTGGCTGAGGTAGCTAAGTTGTGCTATTTCCTGAACTAGGGAAGATGGTAGAAAGAAAATGAATTTAATGTTGCTTATATTGTTTGCTCTTACACAACTTCTCTTCCCCCTAATTCTTCATGTGTAAAATGGAAATAAGGATAGTATTTACCTCATATTGTCATTGGGAGGATTAAATAAGATAAAAGATGGAAAGAATTTAGAATAAACTCTGCCACATAGAAAACACTCAATACATGTTTTCTATTATTATTTTTGTTGAGTTTTAGGCACCTGTGTGATATTCAAGTGGAGGTGTTTTAAGAGAGTTGGCCCTGTGAGCCTAGCTTTTAGGAAAAATGTGTTGATATTTGAGATTTCCCATGGAAAGAGAGAGAAAGGATCAAAAAAGGAATTCAGAGTAATACCAATAATTAAGGAACAGGCAAAGAGAGAAGATTATTCCACAAAGAAAAATAGGAGTGATTTTTTATCCAAATACAGGCAGGCAACATAAAACAGTTTTTTTTTTTTAAAGTTTGACCTTCAGAAATAGACACACTACACCGTTTTCTATGTTTGTGTTAGCAAATTACAGTAAAATCTAGATTAGTTGTAAGGATTAAATGATTGCCAACACAACAGGCACACAACAAATGTCAGCCTTCCTAACCATCTGTATTGAGAATTAGGTGGCAGACCCTGTCTCATCCCCTCCTCATGGAAGTCTTCTGTAGTTTCTACTGGAGGAAACTTTCTCCCTTTCAAAGGCTGAGGATTGCTTTCATAATTCTTTTTGCTACTGTCCAGTGGCTGCCCTTCTATCTTGGTATAATATTTCTCAGTCAGATAGATAGGACCACAACATTCTTTGACTATACTGTGAGGAGATTTCAGGGTATAGAATTTATAGATGTATGATTTTATTAATACCAACACACGTAAGCTTTTTAGCACCCTCTACTTTTCAATTTCTAGCTTATTCCTCTCTTATCTGTAGCCCAGAAAGCAGTTTTGCTTCTGAGAAAATATGGCTCTCTTCAAGCATTATACTCAAGATTTGGCAGAGGTATACTCTTAAATACCAGCGGAAATCCCAAAATGTAGCAGTGTTTTCCACTTATGGAAATCTTCTTGAACTAGATTTTTTTTTCCTTTTAGCTTCCTTTCTGACTGGCACTTGTGATCAGATTTCTACTACTAGCTCTGCCAGGAATTGGCTATGTAATGATTTGAGGCAATCCAACTCTTAAAATTTTGAATCCTTTATTTCTCCCTTCTTGCTGTATTTCCTTTAAAATAATTTGGTTGAGGTTGAGGAATACCAAATTATCATAATTCTATGACTAACTAAAACAACAAAGAAATATATTTATAGAAAATAGAAAATGTAGTAATATGTCAATAATAATTGTTGTCAAAACTACAGGAATGTTTAGACCTACCATTAATTGGCTAGCATTTGCTTCGTTGGCTTTGAAGTAATAAGTGGAAATTGACCAGAAGTAACCTTTTGAAAGTACTTATATTTGTTATAGGATGATTCAATGGAACAAGGAATTATTCAATAGAGAATTATCTAAGCTTTCTAGACTAAACTTAGTACTTACCACACACATGTGCACACACACACACACACACACACACACACACACACACACACACTGGGAGTATGAATAAAAGTCTATTGTACTTTAACATCTAAGGGTATGTGCCCCCAATGGCCCGTTAGTCAGTTGTCTTATAGATATGAATGTTTTCTCTTTCTCAGGTGCTGCCTAGGCTGTCACTGTGGATAGAATTTGGTGAGAGGGTTCCCAGAATGAGATCCGGAGCCTCTGGCCAGAGACTCAGCCATTTAGCCTTAGGGAAGTAGAGGAAGGGCTTGCAGCCCTGCAGTTGGGAGCATGTGGAATGGAGCTGTGAGCCCTCAGGATCCTTAAACATAATAGTAGTGAATTTGCTTTCTGTGATTGGATCCCCTGGGGGTGTTGGGGTTCACATGCTTACTATGATTGGCTGTATGCAAGTTAACTAACCCTAATGTGTCGATCTAATGGTATGTTAGTACACATGGTGGCTCTGCTGTCCCTACCTTTCTGGCTGTACAGATATACACATCAGGCAACCTTACTGTGTAGATGCTGATAAGTTGTGGTGGACCCTCACTGGTAGGTAGGTAGCCCTCCCGTGCTGGTGTTGATAAGTGCTGTAGTCAGAACTGGGACTTAAATCACAATTCAAATAGTAATTCTGAGTAGAAGAATTACTGGTGTTGTTTTCTTTATGTATATATTTTTTGTTTTCTTCAATAGACATGCATTCTTTTGAATTTTTGATGTTCTAGAGCCTTTTTCTGGTTAATTTATCTTCAGTCAGCTAATGGTTTCCATTTTGATTATTCCTGCAAGTCTTCTACTTTACAAGTCTGAAAGCTTCTCTGACGGTTTTCTTTTATCCTTCTTCATCCCTGCACCATATTTATTTCATGTAACCCTTAAGACCTGGTTTCCTGGATTTATTGCCATCTTCCCTGTTAAACTCTTAATGTCACTGTGTTTAAACCTCACTTCACCTCTGATATGCTTTTTACTTTTACAAGAAAGCAAGAGATTATATTACCATATATGATATCAATTCAGAGTGGTTTGTGTTTTTTCACTCAGATCTTACAGGTTTCCCTATGTGGGTGGATACTGTGAATTTAGTACCATTAAATCAAGTTAGTTTTCTCTAGATGGTCTTTTGATCTTTTTGAATCGCAGCCATACCTGTGCTTCAAAATTCGCAAATGACTTTGCCTTTCATTCTTGTTCAATTGCAGGGGGAGAGAGGATTTCCAGGTTTGAAAGGCCATCCAGGTTTGCCTGGATTTCCAGGTCCAGAAGGGCCTCCAGGGCCTCGGGGACAAAAGGTATGTGCCAAGTTGCCAACCAGTACTACCAGAGGAATTAAGCCATCTTAAATGTGGAAGTAGGTGTCAAATCAAATACAAACTTACTGAATTATAGCCAGAAACTAATATTTAAATAAAACAATACAATGTCCTAGAGTTTATACTTTATTGTTAGTTTTTTTTAAAAAAATGAATTTTATTGCCATATTCAGATGTTTTTGGAAGATCTATTAATTGTGTGTGGTTAATAGGATCCTTAACAAAAATTAAGTTCTGTCAGGAGCTCAGCTGAGCTGGATAGAGCTGAACTGCCAGGTGTCAGAGTAGTTAAGACAACAAGCCAAAAGGAAAGTAACAGTCAAGCCTTGAGTTACTTACTGTGACAGTATAAGCAAAACGTTAAAGCAAAGAAAGGGCCAACTTCCCCACTGTTCCATTTTTCTGCATGGAAGAGTGCCAGTGAGAGTCAGATGGATCAGAATAGACATAGGGAATTGTTTCACTGCTGAGGGAGCTGGGAGCAAAAAACTCCTGTTGTTTTCTATAGACCCCAGGTGGGGTGGGAGAAGGGAGAGGGGGAAGGGCTAGGAGTGGAAAACTACTGACTCAGAGTGCAGAAAAAGTTTCCTTAAGGTTACCCTCTCTCCCATTAAAAAGGTCTCCAGTAAGTCTCCAGATAAAGAGGTCTTTCAATGCAGACATGCATAAGAGCATGACAAGCCAAGGGGCCTGAATCCTTGTCTACAACTCCCTTTAGAGAGCGCCATGCATTGTCTGTGCACTAAGTCTCGTGTGGGATGGGCAGCTTTCCTGTATGAGGCCTACCATAAGGCCTTTGTAATTGCCTATGGTTGAGCCTGAAAAATCACACATAGGTTTTTAGCCAGGAACCAGACTCCTAAATTCCATCTCTTGATTTTTCAGGACCCAAGTGAGAAACATAGGCTATGCCATCATGGACCTGAATGGGTTGGACTTTGAGGGGCCATGACAAAAATTGGGTAATTAGTCTGAGGCCACAGAGAATCATGGTCATGATCAAAATTATTCCAAGCAGGACAGTCAGGCCTGCCTGGAGGATTGAGTGTTAACCATGAGCCTCAACCATTGCCAAGCTAGGAATAGATGGCCCATAGCCCACCCAATCTAATTTAGACAGCCAAGAGCCTTTTTTCTTAAGCTCATGATGAACTGTTCTACTTTGCCAGTTTTAGGCATCTAGGTGCAACACGAGATACTGGCAATAGCAAGACCCCTCCTTGGTTGGCCAGCAGGAAGTTGAGGGCTATGCTGTTACCCAACACTACTTGGGCCAAGTAATTGAGGCACGTCTCTTGTGCTTCCAAAGCTGAAGTAGTGTCATTAATGATTTAGTAGAGGTCAAGGACAGGTTGCACACAACCTTTTCTAATTGAATGACCCTGATAGTGGGAAAAGTTGCCTGGAGCATACTCATGAGCATAGAGTCAGTAATACCACATGACAATTCTCCTGAGTAACCAGAGTCTGGTTTGAGAGTTCTTCTCTTACTCTATTTAGTATGATATGACCCATGGGAGGGGCTGTTTTGAATGTTCAGAAGTCTCTTTTCAATGCCCCATATGTACATGGTACATTGGTAAGAATGTCAAAGGCCTGGCTTTTACAAAAGAAATAATTCCCCAAGGGGGACACACACAGTATTGGGAGTGTAAAAGTCATTGATTACCATGGGGATCAAATAGCCAGAAGTCACTCCTGGTGGGCAGAGTCCCTGAGTAGAATTGGAAAATTTGTATAACGTTAGGGGAGGGGGAGGAGAAGGTCGCCACTATTGAGGTCGCAATAGCTGCAGTGGCAGACCCCATATCTCTTTTCCCAGATACTTCAGTTAATCCCATCTGAGACAAGAGCAAGTTGACATCTGAGGAGGCGTTTTTTTTCTGTAGTGTCAGGGTCCAACTGTGGCAACACATCAGGTCCAGTGTAATAGGGCTGAGGTATCTAAGATACTAAAAAGTTCCATGTTTAGAGAGATGTCCATTTGTTGTAGTCAGTGGCATAGCACTCAGACGTTTATCTGTGGGGTTGGATGATGGTTGTCATATCCAGCAGTTAATCAAATTCAAAGTGCTGGCAACTACCTGTGACAGGTGTTATCAATGAATTTGGTGAGGTGGAAGTCACACAGGCTCTTCTGTGGGAGAGAAAGAAGGGGATATAGATCCATACACCCTCCCTTTCCCATACCCAGGCTCATGGATTTGAAGATGCTGTCGTCCTATCAGTTGGGAAGACATGTCCCCATCGACTGCAATGTGGGCAGTCTCTCCTATACCATGAGCAAGGATAGCATCTCATGTGCATGTTAAGTAGGGAATGGAAAGAGATAAAGTGAATTTAAAGATTGGGAGAAGTTCCTGTTTTGTTTTTAAAAGAATGGCTCTTTTGGCTCATTGCCCTTTACCATCTGTATTAAGTTGACTGGTGAACTGATATATGAAAGAGCCAGTTCTGTTCATTTGCCTGGAAAGGAAAAGTGGTTTAAAAACCTGTTTTTCCTAATTTTATCTCATGTAATAGTGGCACATCATGTCATTAGAGTATTAAGAAAAACAAGTGGATACTCATCAGATAGTCCTCCCAATAAAGGAGGAAAATTAATTTAAATGTATAAATACTTTTTAACACTTAACTATACCACAGCATAGATTGTGGGGTATGCTTGTGCATGATCTCTGAGGAGGTGGCAGTATGTCACGGTACTTTTGTTAGATTCAAGATCAGAAGGGACTCATGCTAAGTTTCCTGAGTAGAAATTTACACTGAGGAAAAAGCAAGACTTGAAACGACTGCATAGAATTTAAGTAGATGGGGCATTCAACGGAATTTCATATGTCTAAGGAGTTACAAGAACAGCAGAAAGTTTCTCATGTGCCCAGGAATGGGTCAGAGGTAGCAGAGAGATCTGAAAGAGTCTGGTGGATGGAATTGAGCACTAACTCAGCAGCAATCCATCCAGACTTTTGGCATGGGACATCCCAATGAATTCCAGCTTGGACTGGACTCTCCCACCCTCAACACCTTGAAACTACTTAACCTCTCCATAACTTAGGCACAGCCTTGTGAAAATGAGTTGGGACCTCCAATTGACTGAGATTAAATTTCAGCCATGTTAGTGAAATGGATGCTTTGAAACAGAAATTAAGTTGAACCATAGAAAAAAAAGTTACACTTCTTGCACCCAAGTTTATCTGGGATTAGAGGTGGAGGTTCTTGTACACCATGCTTGCTGAGACGTGGCCATGTTTTGGGGTTACTTTTGCTGAGGAATATTCGCCCTGAGCTAACACCTGTCACCAGTCTTCCTCTTTTTGCTTGAGGAAGATTTGCTGTGAGCTAACATCTGTGCCAGTCTTCCTCTATTTTGTATGTGGGTCGCTGCCAAAGCATGGCCACCGACAAGTGGTGTAGGTCTGCACCCCGGCACTGAACCTGGGCTACCGAAGCAGAGCATGCCAAATTTAACCACTAGGCTGAGAGGGGGCAGTTTTAATAAAGATTTGTGTCAGACTAAAAGAAGTTAACTACACCAGAATTCCTTGAAATAATTTAGCATTAACTGGAGCTATTCTACAATAGTATGATAATTTTTAAAGGTGTGGTTGTATGCAGTTTAAATTTAGAAAGCAGTCCGAGCTTTTGCTGTGATTCCATTTCAGTATTCATTAAAATGATAAGGTTGTGCTGCTTTCTAAACTTTTGGGATTCTGAAATTGAAGTACTTTCTGCTTCTACCTACAGCATGACCTCATGCTTCCGAACATAGCTGAATTTGTACATTTTATGTGATTGGATATTCTGGTACATGTGTATATATTAACATATATACTGAGTCAGAATTTTTGTAGGATTATTCTTTAATCTGTACACTCCTATGTTTGAAAGTAAAGATACATAAAAAGAAAAAAATATATATATATAACAAATATATATATATATAGGAGTGTATATATAAAATTTTCTAAAGGATTTCTTTATTCTTACAAATAAAGCTTAGTTTTCGATAGATAATATATTCACTTTATTCAAAATAAATTATCATAAGAAGGTATACAATGAAACAGATCTCCTTTCCACTTGTGTTCATTAGCCACTGAGTTCTACATATCCATAATAGGTACCCATTTATGTTATTTTCTTGTGAATATCCCCAAGAATTTTTAATAAATATTCATGCAAATAAAAATATATACATACACATACATGTGTGTAAACATACAGACATATTTTTGCCTCCCTTTGTTTATGAAATGGTAGCATATTCAACACATTGTTTGACTTTTGTTTTTTATTTCATATATGTTGTAGATATCCCATATCAGTATACAAACAACCTCCGTATTATTTTTTATAACTGCATTGTATTCCATTGTGTGTAGAAACCATAATTTATCAAGCCCAGTCCCTATTGATAATCATTTAGATAGTTTTCAATTTTTTGCCACTAAAAACAGTGCTGCTAGATGTACAATTTTAATAGATTTCCTTTCCCCAATAAGGGATTATCTCTGTAAGGTTACTAGAAGTGGTATTGCTGGATCAGAGGGTACATGTTTTAAATGTTTTTATGGATATTGCCAAATTTCACCCCAAGAAGTTGTATGATTTATCCTTGGTTCACCAATATACAAGGAGATCAATTTCCCTATAGCTTAACCAACCCTATTATGAAACTTGGATTTCTGCCAATATGATAGGTGAAAAATACTCTCTCAATGTACTTTACGTTTGCATTTCTCTTATTAAGAGTGAGTTCAAGCATCTTTTCATAGGTCTGAGAATCAGTTGTGTTTTCTTTTGTATGAACTATCTATTCATCACTTGCCCATTTTTCTACTGGATTGTTGGTGTTTTCAGAGTTCAGTGAGCTATTTATATATTAGCGAGATTACCCTTTGTCTGTGTTGCGAGTTGCAATTATTTCCTCCTAATTTGTCATTTGTCTTTGCTGAGTGTGTACGTGTGTGTGTATATTCATATGTCTCTGTGTGTGTTTTTCAAAGGTATTTTATGGATTTTGAATTTTGAGTAGGAAATGCCTTACCCACTGTAAGATTATAAAGTAATTCTCCTGTGTTTTCTTGCAGTATTTTAATAGTTTTGTTTTTTACATGTAAACATTTTATCCATTTCTAATTCATTCTGGTGTATGGTTTGTGATATAAGTTCCACCTTTATTTTTTTTTTCCAGATGTCCTCACAAGTGTGTCCCAATATAATTTTCCCCACTAACTTGCAGTGCCACTTTCATTATAAACCAAATGTGCATGAATATATGGACTTGTTTCTGGACTTTCCATACTCTTCCAATGGTCTGCTTATTCAAATATCAGAACCAAACTATTTTTTTTTTTTTTGAGGAAGATTAGCCCTGAGCTAACTGCTGCTGATCCTCCTCTTTTTGCTGAGGAAGACTGGCCCTGAGCTAACATCCATGCCCATCTTCCTCTACTTTATATGTGGGACGCCTACCACAGCATGGCGTGCCAAGTGGTGGCATGTCCGCACCCGGAATCTGAACCGGCGAACCCCAGGCCGCTGAGAAGCGGAACGTGCGCACTTAACCACTGCAGCACTTGGCTAGCCCCAGAACCAACCTATTATAATTATTGATGTCTTATGCTATAATTTTATATCTGACAAGGCTAGTGTCCCCTCATTGTTCTTTTTTTTCTTCAAAATTTTCCTCAGTGTTCTTACTGGTTTATTTTTCTATATGAACTTTAGAGTCACCTTGTCCAGTTTAAAAATAAACTTGTATTATTTCTATTTTTATTGTATCAAGTTTGTGACTAAATTTATTGAAAATTGACTTTTTTATGTTGAATCCTATTCTCCAGGAGCATGAAGTGCCTTTCCGTTTGTTCAAGCCATCCTTTTTGAACTTCAGAATTGTTTTAAACTTTTCTCCTTAAAAATCTTGTACATCTTTTAAGTTTTTCGTAAATTGCATATTTTCTTCCCTTATGTGTTCTAACCAGCAGTTGTTGGCATATAAGAAAGCTATTGATTTCTTCATATTAATTTTATATACAATTATCTTACTGAATTATCTTATTAATATAGTAGTTTTTCACATAATTAACGGGGTTTCCATGCATACAATCATATCATTTGCAAATAGTGATAGTTTTGTCTCATCCTTTCCAATTTTTATATCTCTAGTTTCTCTCTTATTTAACCATGTTGGTTAGTACAGTCAGTACAATATTAAGGCATCCTTGTCTTATTTCTGTCTTTAGTAGGGAGACACAAAAAAATTCATTGAACAAACTGTCTTTTAGTTGTTTTAAAATAGAATTAGATTTGCTTTAAATCTCCTCAGAGATGCATCTGTTGTGGAAAGAGTAGATTATTAAACTTTTTTAAAGGAAGTTGTCATAGGCAGAATAATACCCACTCCCTAAAGATGTCCATGATCTAATACCCGGAACCTCTGAGTATATTAGGTTACATAGACAAGTGAAATTAAGATTGCAGATGGAATTAAAGTTGCTACTCAGCTGATCTTAAACTAGGGAGATTATCCTGGATTATCTGGGTGGGCCGAGTGTAATTACAAAGGTCCTTTAAATGTGGAAGAGGGAGGCAGAAGAATCAGTGTCAGAGTGATGCAATGTTAGAAAGACTCGTTCAACCGTTGTTGGCTTTGAAGATTGAAGAAGGCCATGAGCTAAGGAATCCTGATAGCTCTAGAAGCTGGAGAAAGAAAGGAAATAGATTCCTCCCCTAGAACCCCCAGACAGTAACACAGCTCTGCCACTGAGACCCCTGTCATACTTCTGACATTCAGAACTGTGCAGTTATGTTGTTTTAAGCCACTAAGTTTGTGGTAATTTGTAGCAGCAGCATAGGAAACTAATCCACCAGGTTAACTCTCCAAATGAAGCTTTTCATGGAACCCCACATGAAACAGATAAAAACAGAGCTGTGCTGGTTAAAGAAGGGCTGTGACATAGGCATCGAGGAACCTCCAGTGGAACCTCTAGGGTTGTGAGTTGAGTAGTTGGGAAACCACTTATGGAAAGCAAGATGTCCCAGTTTAATAAAAGCTATCTAAAGCCTCAGGCAGTGGCCTACCAGCTATATGTTCCACTAAAATTCCTACCTTTTGGAGCAGAATTAGGTTTTCTTTATTCCATTTTTTATAGAAACTAATAAAAATTTAGTCAAGCAAAACTTTAAATTCTCAGCAATGAGGTTGTAGCTAGAAATGGGTAAATAGATGAACATACATGTGGGCAGCCTCTTTTGCGAATCTACAGCAGAAGCTAGAAAGGAAAGTCTATGGTTCTTTCTTGTTCCTTCTTAAGTTCTGCCAGTAGGAAGTGCCTTATAAAACAAAGCAAATGTTTAAAACAGCAAACTCAAGAACAGCACGTATTTGGGCTCAGAGATGATGCTATTTATTACCAGCATGGCGAACAGATTGATATAATACAGAAACCGCACAGATTTTCAGCTCTTATTTTGTTTATGCATAAATGATTTGGGAAATATCTATACCACTATTTCATCTTTGTTTTCTTGCATGATTCATAGTTAACTTTACAGATATAAGTTTCTTTTATGTGTCAGCAGTTTTCCTCTCAGTAAATAAAGGCCTTTCTCATTTTTTGTTATATAACTTACCTGAATGCTTTCAGTTTCAATAATAAATGCTTCTCCGTTGGGTGTGTGAGTTTCTTACTAACGTTCACAAAGGTTCACACAAATTTAAGTCTTTTTTATTATATAAATTAGTTATTTGAAGGCTATTTTTGAAGAAAAAAAACTAAATACGTTATACTTTTCAGGGTGATGATGGAATTCCAGGGCCACCAGGACCAAAAGGGATCAGAGTAAGTGATATTTGCTGTATGTCAAATGCTTTGTTGGTCAAAACAAAGAAAAAGCAGAGCAAGTGTTATGAGACAGCTGGAAAAGACTCATACTGAAATTCAAAAAAGGAAAATGTATTTATCTACAATTAGCCTTTCTTTAGTATTTTGATAGTTACCTTTATATATCCAGATGTCTCATGTAAGAAGATTTTAAGTTGGCTTATGATTAAGAAATATGAAAGTGCTAAATTCTAACAATTTGTCAATTTATTAAAAATATACACCATACAAAGGGTTTAAACAAGAACTTCCCAACCAGTGTGCTCATCTTAGTCCTCCAGATTCATAAGGATGGTCACCTCAGTCTGTGTACCCTCCCAGTGTACTAAGTACAAATATTATAATTTTCTTTATATACCTTGAAGAGAATAAGTTTGGGAAGCATTAGTTTAAACCACTCAGTTAAAGAATAACTACTTTTTGAAAAATAAGACATTTCCTCAATTCTAAGATACATGATTTTTCAAGTTTTAATGTTCTGGAAATTAGAATGTGTTTCAAAATTGAAGTGCCCATTTAGTGTAATTTTTCTGAAAAGCTTTTAGGTTGACATATGTTTTTCAGTGTGTTTTAGAATTGAGAGGAAACTATAGTTTAAAAATAGTACTGGCTTTAGATAGAGAAAGACAATCTCCGTATGACTCCACTCACATGTGGAAGTTAAACATGTAGACAAAGAACAGATTAGTGGCTACCAGGGGAAAGGGGGGGTGAGGGGGGGCACAAAGGGTGAAGTGGTGCATCTACAACACGACTGACAAACTATAATGTACAACTGAAATTTCACAAGATTGTAAACTATCATAATCTCAATAAAAATTTTAAAAGAATTAGTACTGGCTTTTGGGAAATCATATTCAACTTTTCTGAGCCTCAGTTTCTTCATTTGTTAGATTAAAAAGTCAAACAACACAATCTCCAAGGTCCCTATTAGCTCTGAAATTCTGTGTTCATAGATTGATGAGGCCCCTTAATTTGAGTATAAAATACACAGGTGGTGATGTAGCATGTTTATGTGTATGAGAAAGACAATTAAACATTCTGAACCTTTGATCTCCAGAAATTTAGCAGATATACACATTTTACATAAATGCTTAAAACATTCTGTTTGCTATATACTTCTTAACAAGATGTAGCTTGCCTTGTGTGCTACTTATGACTTGTGTGGGTAGGGTACTGGAAAAGCATGGAAGAAACTCAAAACCCTTAGTTTATTTTAGCAGACATATTTCTATGTTTTTCTGTAATAAATGGATAGCAATATTCTGTTAAAGCTCTTCATAATAATCATATCTCATAATAGCTATAGCTACCATTAACTATGTCCTAAGCACTATTGAGACTAAAAAAACCCTGTTCGTTATATCAATCCCCATTTCCAAGTGTCTGGGAGTGCCTGAATAGTCCATGTCCTTCAACCAGAACTTCAGAAGTGCTTAGGAATAGGTAACTTGAAAATTCTTGCATCCTCAGATCTCAGCTCACAGACAACTCTTGATATGCAGATTTTAAAAGATTTATTATTATGGAAAATTTGAAGCATACACAAATGTACAGAGAATATAGTACAATGAACTCCCAGGTACACATCACTCCACTTCAAAAATTGTCAACATTTTGATAATTTTGTTTCATCTATATGCTACCACTATGTTTTTGGAATATTTTAAAGCAAATCCCTCGAATGATTCATTTCACCAGTGAATGCTTCAGTATGTCTTTCTAACTGATAACCACATAACCACTATACCATTATTAGACCTCAAAAAATAGCAATAATTTTTCAATATACTTTAAAACTCAGTCCATATTCAGATTTCCTCAATTATCTCAAACATGTCCTTTTAAAATTTGTCTGTTCAAACCAAGATCCAAGCAGGTTCCACATATTGCATTTGGTTGCTATGTTTCTTAAGCCTCTTTTTATGCCAGGGGAGAAACTGGGTCATTTGTATTGTACTGCATTCCACATTCTGGATCTGGCTGATTGTTACCTCATGATGTCATTTAAATTGATCCTCTGTTCCCCATATTTCCTGCAAATTGGAGGTTGCCTTGGAAGAGGCACTAGAGAACTTTCTGGAGATACAGAAAAAGCTGTACACTTAAGATTTGTGCATTTTATTGTATGTAAATTATACTGTAAAAAATTAAATAGGAAAAGAATACTTTATAGATAGTTCTGTGTATTTATTATTGAATTATATCTTACAGCAAAAATATCTGTCTGTCCTTTTTAAAAAAATTATTTTATTGAGGTCATATTGGCTTATAATATTTTATAAATGTCGAGTGTACATTGCTATATTTCAGTTTCTATATAGACTTCATCGTGTTCATCACCAATAATCCAGTGTTTATCTGTCACCATACATAGTGCCCCTTTATCCTTTTCACCTTCCCCCCACCCCCTTCCATCTGGGAACCACCAATCTGTTCTCCTTATCTATGTGTTTCTTTATCTTCCACATATGAGTGAAATTATACAATATTTATCTTTCTCTGTTTGACTATTTTTGTCTGGCATAATACCCTCAAGGTCCATCCATGTTGTCACAAATGGCACAATTTTGTCTTTTTTATGGCTGAGTAGTATTCCATTGTATGTGTATACCACATCTTCTTTATCCATTTATACGTTTATGGGCACTTGGGTTACTTCCACATCTTGGCTATTGTGAATAATGCTGCAATGAACATAGGGGTGCATAAATCTTTTTGAATTCTTGATTTCTGTGATTCTTTGAATACACACCCTGTAGTGGAATAGCTAGATCATATGGTATTTCTATTTCTACTTTTTTGAGGAATCTCAATACAGTTTTCCATAGTGGCTGCACCCGTTTGCACTTCCACCAGCAGCATATGAGGGTTCCCTTTTCTCCACATCCTCTCCAACATTTATTATTTCTTGTCTTGTTACTTATAGCCATTCTGATGGGTATGAGGTGATATCTCATTGTAGTTTTTATATCCCACTTTTCTGATGCTGGGTTTGATCAGTGGTCTCAGGTATATGAGCCTGATTCTGCCATCAAAAATTTCCCAGTCAACTTTCATCTAACGGTTTAGCATCTATTGATGATTATTGCCTAGATCCTTTTTTTTTCGTACAGAGTTGCAAAGTGGTGATTTTTAAAACTCTATCAATCCTTCATTTATTAGCTAGGATTCTAATTTATCGGCTAGAGTTCTAATTGGGTAATGAGTTGGTACACCAGCAACTCCAAGTGATGATCAAAGAAGGTTTTTTGAATTTTTTATCATTATAAATATATGGGATTTATGTGTTTCAATCAATTGTACTCATTATTCTTTTTGAAGCCCAAATTATCCCATCTTTGGTCTGTGGGAGACACTTCAAGTTGGCCCTGTCCTGTGTTCTTTTGACAAAATGCTGTTGATCTTTGATAACTTCCTTGGTTTCTGACACAACAAGATTCTTCTTGTACATTTCCTCTCCAGATCTGGAATTGGCCAAGTCTCAGATTTGAGGTTCTTTTAGTGAAAAATGTGACTTAGATACCACAGTCTGAATGTTAGGGGTTTTCGTTGCTACTGGATTTGACTTTGTTTTGGTGTGTTTTCAGTGGACAGAGCTAGGGAATATGTATTTTTTAAGCGAAAAACTATCATGAGTTTATATTATTACCTCCAATTGAAATTTAGAATAAAAAGCTTTTGCATACTTATTCTCTCTCCTTCCTACCACCTCTCTCTTCCTAAGGTGAAACTCTTGATTACTAATGACATTAATATAATTTATTATTTCTCTTTTCCTATATTATACCTATAATAGCTTGAAAATAGCACTTTACAAATGAACAAAATAGCAATTTCAATGTTAGTAGTAACAGAATTCTTAAATGCCATTAATTATTTCTTGACTTCTTTTTTCCACTTTGAATTGACTAATTTCACTAGGGAAGCACAGTCAAAATAGCATGTTTTCAAGGTACTTGAAGCAATTCTTTTCTCTGATTATGTCAACAACTTGACATACATTAGCTTCATAGGTTCCAGTTTGTTTTCAATTTTTAATGATTTCCTTTTTATCTCTTTAAAATTTTTATTTTTAATTATTTAAAACGTTTATATTGTTCTATAAGACAATGTATATTCGGTGATGCTTCTCATGTATCCTTGCGATCTCCTGGTTCTGATTCCCTCTTCACCCTAGAGGTAATCATTTTTGTTATTTTTTGTTTATATTTTCATTGTTTTGTATCACCATCCTTCTTATAAAAAGAGAATATATTATATATACTACTTACGCTTTGTTTCTTTTACTTAACATTATATCCTGGAGAGCACTACATATTTCAGTGTCCAGAGATCTTCCTCATTTTTTTAACAGCTGCATAGTTTTACATTATGTGGATGTACCATAATTTATTTAGTCATGTCCCTATTGTTTCTAATCTTTAGCTATAACTGTGGTTATATGGTCATTTCTAAACTTTAACTATAATAATGCTGCAATCAATAACCTTGAGTTTCATATTTTGTTTCATGATTTCTAGTGTACCTTTGGGATAGATTCTTAGAAATGAGTTGCTTCAAAGGGTAAATGCATGTGTAATTTTGTTAGATATTTCCAAATTTCTCTCCATGGTGTTTGAATCCCATTAGCAGTGTATGAAAGTACCTTTTCCCCATAGCCTCACCTACAGAAGATATTGTCAAACTTGTATTTTTGCCAATCCTAACAGGGAAATATGATTGAAGAATTATTGGGGTGATCACATTGATGTTCTCAGGGGCAGACGTATTTGCCACTTACCCATTCCCTGCTGAATTCAATATTCATCACAAACCTAGGAGAACCACTTTAGTTTTTAGAAAAGACATTTCATCCACTAATTTGCCTGTTCCTACTAAGTGCAATGAAGACAATGCTCCCTCAAATGGGAATTTCTTGTACAATTTTCTATAAAAGAGACTTTTAAACATAGAAGGGTCTTTTTCTATAATATTTAAAAGAACAATGAGTGGTAATAATCAATGAGACATTTTGCCCATTAATGTAACTTTCATAATTCTCTTAGGTAGGATATTATTTTATTGTTATTGATTATTATTTGGTTGAAGGAATTTATTTCTTCTTATAGGGTCCTCCTGGACTTCCTGGATTTCCAGGGACACCAGGTCTTCCTGTAAGTAGGATTTGGCCTCTTATTTTAAAATCCCTTAAAATGTAATCTAAGAAATACTATACATGTGTTATATCCCTTTTCAAAGGGAATGCCAGGCCATGATGGGGCCCCAGGACCTCAAGGTATCCCCGGATGCAATGGAACCAAGGTAAGATTTCTTCAACTTAATCTTAGCTGATATTCTTGATAACAATAGTCTTAAAAATCTAAAGAAATCAATATGAAGAATGTTGAAGAAAAGATAACAGTAGCTTCATGTCTAGGACATACATAGGGTATGTTCTGAGTTCACATTTTCAATATATTGAAACATCAGTAATTTGTTAAGCATGTGTAATTAGCTGGGATATTGCACTGGGCTGAAGATTACTTACCAAATCCTTTTTTGACTTTAGTGTAAAGTAGGATGAGAGTTAAGAAAGAGTTAGGATATATGTGTTTCAAATATTAAATCAGTTGTTAAGAGTAATACTTGTGAATGTCATTCATTAGCTTTGCCAATTTTTAAGCAAGGTACAATTTACGTTTTCAAAAATTTCATGCTTTTATAATTTTTTTACCTTGCCTAATAACTTCCTTAGGAAAAATTCTCAAAATCTATATATAATACAGCACGTCAATTTTTACTATAAACTTTTAGTATGAAACGTGAAACTCTTCTCTGTCAGCAAAAACAATGAATTGAACAATGTGTAAAGAAAAATAAAACTTTATATATGACAGACATTTTTTCCTGACCCAATTTTTTGTCTTTGGTCTACTGTTTGGATTTAATATAAAGTGATAGCAAGAAAAAAAATTAGGGAAATTTGCTGTTTTTGAAAACAGATATGTCTGTTCTTACTCCCTCACTTTTCCCTTTTCCTTTAGGTTAATGCAATGTTATTATCTTCTGTATATTCTTTTGGTGTTTTTCATTTTGCGCATAATATTCTGTGAAAGTGTTCATGAAATACCCTAGATCTTTCTAATTAATGGCATGTGTCATTTTATATTAAGGCACTTATTTAAAATAACTTGAACAAAGTATTTTGCATTATGAAGGCCGTATTTTATGATAATTATTGTAGTATATACTTGAAGGCAATAAAATTGTTTTTACCTCCAGTACTTCTCCAGGCCAATGTGACCCTTGCCAATAATAGTAATAATAATAATATAATTTTTATTTTGGATTTGTGAGGCTTACTTGTCTTCTTCATTTCAACTGGGGCAACCTTACAGTGATAAGATCAATGTGGAAATAGTTTGCATGGCACATTGCGTGTTAAAGTGGGCTACATTCTTGTGACTATTCTGATTATTTGTTTTACACCAGTATGCCTTGAGCAACAAACAGATCACTAGCCAAAGCTCAAAATTTGAAGACCAAATGTATCTACAATGATCATAGGATGCTAAATGATTAAAGGGATCTTTTTTTTCTTTTTATAAAGGAGCACCTTAGCAGATCTCATGATTATTTTGTGTCTGAGGCCCCTAATTATATGAACAACAAATTTTTAAAAATGGATTCATTTTGTATACTTTCAAATTAAATGGTTTCTTACATTTCTTACCGTGTAGGATAGAATGAACCCCAGAGACGAAGCCAGAATATATGGGTTCTTTTGTTTTCTGTCTTCTAAATTTGATGTACAGGCCACTTTCTTTCTCTCTGGTTATACTTTTTCCATGTGTAAAAAGTGGTGGAAAGATGGGTATTGGGCAATAACTCAAAGACACACAGCTGTAATAATTTTACTCTTTTAAGCCTCTGACAAGGATGTTTCTAGGATTACTATGGCATATAGGTATTTGAAAGGATGTTGCATAGGGGTTCTTATACAGCAGTTTTAGCTTCTGTTTTCTAAACCAAATGTCTATATTAGTACTTTACAATACTGAGTGAGAAAAATTGGGTGCCTAGAAAACATAATGACCTGCAATTGCTAGGACTATTTCTGTTATTGTCCTCTTGGTGATATTAATGACATTCTTTCTTACCATCTTTTCTTCTTTACAAAAATAATTTGAAATAGTTTACAATAAAAGAAAAATGCAATAGAGCAGTTAAAATAAGAATCTATGGGCAGAAAATTGGGGCAAATCATTAGCTATTAAATGTGATGATGGCCAGGAATCTGTGGTGTGATTGTCTCAAAATGGATTTGTCAGAAGAAAATGACTGCGGTAGAAGATTTTTTTCTTTATTTCTGATTGGGATTGATGAGTAGGAATAAAAGTATCTTAGAAGGTTGAATTGATATGGATAGTTGATATTGAAGTAATTGGAAAGTGAAGGCTAATGAATTTTTGGCAATCTGGCATGTTTCAAAATGGCTTTTACAGAAATCTTTTCAATAAGTCATTGTTTGTTGGTATAGTTATGCTTTGTTTCTTGTTCCTCCATTCTCTTTATTTTTAACTCTTTCTAGGGAGAACGTGGATTTCCAGGCAGTCCCGGTTTTCCTGGTTTACAGGGTCCTCCAGTAAGTTATGAAATTGGGGATTATAATGAACATAGGAATTGACATAATAAGCAGAAGTGTAGAAAGTGAGCTCAATGCATTCATGTGGGACAAAGTAGTACATTTTAAAGTAGTAAACTAGAAAAGGATTGAACAAAAAGAAGTTGGTAGTATAGCTCTCTGCTGGGTAAAAGCAAAGCTTCTATGGTATTTAATATAAATGTCATCTCTAACTATCCTAAGATACATTGTACTTAGAATGACCCTATAGTTGTCTTATTCAATTTGGACTCTATTTGGAAAGCACTGTGCTCCCCTATCATATATATATAATAATCTCTTTTCTTTTTAATAATAGGGACCGCCTGGGATCCCAGGTATGAAGGTAAGCATCTCATGCTGGGAAGGAAAACATTTTGAATAAAATATATGGAAAACCTGCAACTTTAATCAGATAATATCTCTGACTTTTGTCTTAAAAGGGATGCTTCTAAAAGTTGTGCAGGGGCACACTTACAAGCTTTCCTTAAGTAGTCTCCTTTGTTCCCATGGCTTTAAGTAACTTCTTTGTGCTGATACACTTACAAATGTGTATGTTAGACTCAAACTTCTTTTCTAATACTTTCAATCCTTATTACATTTTGATGTAATTGACCTGCTCCCTCTAGAAATACCCTTTTCTCCTGGCTTCTGTGACACTACCCTTTCCTGATTTTTCTTCTGCATCTCTGGTCATACTGCAGTCTTATATGCAAGCTCATTCTATCCATCTAGTTGGTATCAGGACACAGTCCTGACCCCTTCTACTCTTCTATGCCTAGCAATATTGTTAATGCTCATGGTATTAATTATTATCTAGTTACTGAATACCTACATTTATATCTCTAAAACAGACTTTTCTTCTGAGTTGAATGCACTTATTAAACTACCTCCATGACATCTTCACTCAGATATCTCTCAGACTTTCAAATTAACATGTTCAAAGTTAAGCCAGACCCCAAAATAAACCTGTTCCTCCCTCTGACTTCCCCATCTCTAAAATTTGCATCACTATATAATATGTACATTTTTGCATGAGCCCAAAACCTGAGAGTTAGTAATCTTCTACTCCTTCACACACCCTCATTCCATTCTATCGCTAAATACTGTTAACTTTGCCTATAAAATATATCTTAAATTCATCCACTTTTCTCCATCCTTACTGCCACCACACTAACCATAATATCTCATCTGGGCTGTTGTAATAGCCTCTTAGCTAGTCTCTTTTCTCTCTACTACACACCCCCCACCTCCCAGCCTGATTTATTCTCTACAAAACAGCCAAGAATGATCTTTTAAACATGTAAATCAATAATTTAATCCCCCTGCTTATAAACCTTCAAGGGCTTCCTACTGCATCCGATATAAAGTCCACATTCTTTTCCATGGCCTGTAAGACCTCAGTATTCTGGTCACTGCCAAATTTCCGGGCTTATCTTTAAACCGCTTTTCCCTTAGCTCACTGATCACACCGGTCTGCAGTAAGTTATATGAATGTGCCAAACTCTTCCCTTTTTGGGTCCTTTGTACATGCTACTTGAACTCCCTAACACTCTTCTCCCATCTAGACCTGGCTGACTCCTTATTATCCTTTAGATCTCAGCCTGAACGTTACCTTCACAGATTGCCCCTCTTTAACTACCCAGACTAATTTCCTCCACTATTTCTTTTTTTTTAACTGAAATATATTTGACATATAACATTGTGTGAATTTAAGGTGTACAACATGTCAATTTGATAATTTATGTATTGCAATGTGATTGCCATCGTAGCAATAATTAAAACCTCTATCACATCGCATATTTATAATTTCTTTTTAGTCCTCCACTATTTCTTTGTCATGTACCATGTTGTTTTTCTTCATAGCTCTTAACAGAACACTTTGTCATCTTGTTTACATATTATGGTCTGCATTGTCCCAGTATATTGTTTGCACCGTGAGAACAGAGATCTTGTTTATTTTCTTCACTGCTGAGTATCCAGAGTCTGACACAATTTTTGCAAATATTAATATTTAATAAATGTTTTTTAATGAATGAGTAATTGAAGATACCACATTCTCTTAATAAATTGGCTGTACTTCAGTGTACTCTGGCCACTTCCTCATTTCCCTTTAAAAGGTAAATTTATTTGTGTTAATTACTGAGATCACCTAATCTTCCAGGACATTTATGTGACAAATTGAATTCTCGGGTTATTTTTTTGTTCTCTTGCCAATTTTTATGTATCATAACTCTTACTTACAACTTCCATTGATGGTTTCTTTCAGGGAGAACCAGGTAGTATAATTATGTCATCACTGCCAGGACCAAAGGGTGACCCAGGATATCCAGGTCCTCCTGGAATACAAGTAAGCATCCAGTGATTTTCTTCTTTGCTATATTGATTAGATTAGATCACAGCATCACTGTTTTCTCCTCAGCCTTTACCACCCCGTATTTTAGTTATAGAAATTAACATATGAAGGTTGGTAGACATTGCATGTACCTCGTACCTGAAAATAAAAGCAATCTGAACCAGGGAGCATTTAAGAAGCACTACTTTTTTCTTTTACCTTTCTATTCAGTTTCCATGGAAATTTTTGTTGTTGGATTTGGCAGAGGAAGTAGGCTTCTACATTCTTGTTCTTCTGCTGTGGGGATCAGTAGGGTAGTAGGAGTAGTCCTAATAATTGTAAATGGTCTAATTAAAAATAAAAATCATAGGTCTCCTATTTAAGATATTAGAAGATGTCGTTTGTAACACTATCAGTTATGCGTAACATATGAACATATTTTTAAGGCTGAAGGAATAAAATTTATGCATGGTGAACATCAAGTATAATCTTAGGAAAAAAAGTTATGTTAACCTACACATAACATGCAAAGAGATATCAATAACTTTTGACTATTTATAGATTAGGAAGTCAATTGCTTGGGGTTTATATTTCACGAGGATTGATCCCTTTGTGAAAAATAAAAGTCAGTACTTTCTAATATTGGATCACTAAGGTACAATGTCAGGGACTTATTTTATAACTAACTTCTCATTCCATACTTGACATCTCCTGTGCATATGCTCTTAAGTACTGTCAATCTTGCCCTTTATCTTTTATAATTTTTAATTATATAGTATTTGAAAATACCAGAATACATGCAAAATATATGTACATTATGAAGCATAACAACCAAGTGAACATCTCTGAACTCAACACAACATATAAGAACTAGAACATTGTAAATAATCTTGAATCAACCTGTAGTTTCCTTGGTAGTCACATCCTTCTGGATTCTTTCAATATGTAACTTCCATCCTGAACTTTCCACTGCTTCTTAAAAATAATTTTATTGTGTATGCATGTATCTAAACAATAGAATATTTGGGTTTGCTTCTAAAGTAATATAATGTTTATGTAGTTTTCGGCAGCTTTTTCTATTTGATATGTTAAGATTCATCCATATTATTGTATGTGGCTATAGTTCTTCCATATAACACCCCATTGTGTGAACATACTACAGTTTTTCTCTCCGATCTCCAAAAATATTATTGAATATTTGGGTTGTTTGGGGATTTTTTTAAAAATTACAAAACAATCCAGGTTTTATACCTAGATATAGAATTGCTAGATTTCAGGGCAGTCAAATTTTCAACTTTTTAAGATGCCAAATTGTGTTTCACAATGATTGCACCATTCCCTTATCTTTTGCCCCAGTTATTCTCACTTTCTTCTTTGTCTTTAATCTTACTTATTTCTTATTTTAAAATTAGAGAAGCCACCTCGAAATTAGTAGCCTTTCCCTTTCAATTTCTAGCATGAAAGCCCCACTGAATGTCCATCTTTATCACTTATTTTGTAAAACTTCTTTACTACGTGTTTATCCTACATGTGTTACCTCCACTGTAAAACGTAACTTTTCTAAAAGCTGCATCCATTCTGTTTATTTGAATTTCTTTATAGTTACTTAATTTTTTTAATTCTTATACATTTTTAAATTCTGCTTATAATACTGCAGAATTATGGAATTGTATAACAGAATTCTGATAACTACTTAAGTTTAAATTTCATCTGTTTAGTTCTTTGTACGATACAGTGAGGGTTTTTTTTTTTCTCATCCTTTTCTTTACTTCCTTTATAACAGGGCCTAGCTGGTCCCACTGGTATACCAGGACCAATTGGTCGCCCAGGACCACCAGGTTTGATGGTAAGCTTGCTTCTCTAATTTCATTTCTCCTTCTTTTCTTTGGATTTTTTTCTCAATATTAATATTATTTATCTTACTTGAAAGTATACTGCATTTCAGTGTTCATAATCTATAATTTCTTATTTACAGGAGATTTTACAATGTTATAGTGAACAATATATGTGCAAAATAATAGCTTCATTTTATAGATGGAAAAAATAAGCTATACAAAAGGAGAGATTTAAAGTATTTTGTTGATTACCTTTTGATGTGTCAGAGTTGAATTCGATTCTGGCCATCTCATGAAGTCTTCTAAGGCAGTTCTCTAGTCACCTGATTAAACATGTTTCTTCAAACTATAGTTTTTGGTTTAAGAGGAACAAAAACAAGTATTTACCAAAAATATTGGCTTTCATTTATTAGGGGCTTGTGACAGAACAGGATTGGTGAAGGTAGTGAATCACTCTGCAATGGGATAAAGATTTGTGTCCCCGAGGAGAGAAGCAAACACTTCTGAAGACCCTGAATGTGCAACCAGTTCCCTTACTTTACTATGTCTATAATCACTCATGTTTCCTTCTCTAATGAGTTCTAACTATTTTTATCCCTGACATACTTAGATTTCATTCAAGTCATGTTTTGGACTTAGAGCTTTGCTGTTGCCTTCTTAAAAGGGCAAGAAAATTGTACTTCAGTCAAAGTAATTTCTCATGTGCCACTCCCTCTCTCATCTACCAAATAGTTAAGTGACAGTTTTCATTATACCTTTATAGAGTGTACATTTTTGCTTGTGGTAATTGGTACTCTATTCTTCAATGAAGGAAATAATGTTTGGTAAATACTAGAAGACTCTACCAGAAAAGATTGTGATTTCTGCTTTCCTGGAAATTTTTAGGAGAGGATTAGAAAACCCCTTTTTTAGTGTGTTTTAGTTCTGCATGTCTTACTAAGCATGAGACTCTGGGCTATGGCACTTTTTCCTAACTCTGTTGTTAAATTAGTATAACCTAGGTGTGTTGTTATACCTTGAATTTCCTTAACTCGTGTGGCCACATAACTGATTCACTCTGCACTTCTGAATGTCCCTTAAATTATCCCTGATTCAACAGGTGGAGCAAAGTCAGAAATTCCACCAAGGTACAAAATGTAAATAAATAGGTCCATTGAGATCAAGAGGTAATATGTTTGGGCGGAAAAATGACTATTTATCTTTTTAAACCTTGAAACATTCTCAAATAGACAAAGTCAGATCACGTAAAATTAAAACTGGACTCAAAAAGTAAACACATGCCTTTTAGAACTAAAGTTAATTGCCTTGTGGTACCTAAATTTACCTCTAGTTCTGTTATGAGACATTTGATATGTTTGTTGAGATTAACTTTTGTCCTGAGTTTTGGCACGGGCGCTGCCTCTCTGCCTCTACTCAGCCTTGCATTTCTTCCCCTGCCCACTCGTGTCCTGTCGCAAGAAGTCTCCACATTCATCAAGTTAATTTAAATTTGTGTCTCTGACTAGAAAACAGTGAGAAAAAACCCAGGAAAATATTTTTTGAAGGGCTTTTTTAATCCTCACTTTTTATGAAACCAAATAATTTTTAATAAATGTATTCATATAACACATTTTTCCTTTTCTGTGTCTTCTATTCTTAGGGTCCTCCTGGTCCCCCAGGACTGCCAGGACCAAAGGTAATTTTCTTTCCTTTACATCTTTTATTTGGTGTGGATTCATTTTGTTATTGTCAATGAGATTTTAAACTGAAATCTCTCTCTTCAGGGTAATATGGGCTTAAATTTCCAGGGACCCAAGGGTGAAAAGGTGAGTAAAGAAAAATGTTGATTATTCATTCCTCAGCTTTCTCCTTTCATAGTCATTTGAACTTGTCTTTTTCCTTCTCTTGCTTCTTGTAACTGACGTAGCTTACATGTCATATTATTATTGTCTATGTGAATTATGAAATGTTACTTTCTTATTTAATCTTGCAAACAGGGTGAGCAAGGTCTTCAGGGCCCCCCTGGGCCACCTGGGCAGATCAGTGAACAGAAAAGACCAATTGATGTAGAGTTTCAGAAAGGAGATCAGGTGAGTACGTAGAGGGTAAATCAATGAAAATCTTGCAATGAAAATGGCATTCCGTTAAAATGCATCGTAAGCTGGAATATGGTTACATGTAAAGGTATTTTAAAAATAACAAGGATTTGAGATAAATTTTTTAAAGAGTATTATTGAGATATAATTTATATACCATACAGTTCACCTATTTAAAATGTACAATTCAATTTTTCCAGTATATTCACAGAGTAGTGAAACCATCATTACAATTTAATTTTAGAACCTTCTCATCCACCCTCACTAAAACCTCATACCTATTAGTTGTCACTCCCCATTTCTCCCCCAAACTTTCCAGCCCTAGGCAACCGCTAACCTACTTTTGGGCTCTTTAGATTTGCCTATTCTGGACATTTTATATAAATGGAATCATACAATATGTGGTCTTCTGTGTCTGGCTTCTTCTACTTAGTATAATGTTTTCAAGTTCATCCACGTTGTAGCATGTATCAGTACTCCATTCCTTTTTATGGCCAGATAATATTCCTTTATATGTATATTCCACATTTTGTTTATCCATTCATCAGTTGATGGACATTTGGATTGTTTTGATTGGGGATGTTATAAATAATGCATTCATGTCGCAAATTAGGTCATGGTAAGATAGATTCTCATTGTCTTAGATGATTGTGTTCTCTACGTTTCACTGATATACAAGGAGAAAGATGGTGTTACTCTGTAAACCTTTGTGTTTAGAAATGATTATCTGCTATCTTGCTTTTACTAGAGGAGATGAAGGGATCAAACATATCTTTTATAGCATAGTGGCCCATTCTTGAGCAAACAGAGTGTGTGCATGTTGTTTTATTTAAATGTTTATAAGAGAGTTAAGAATAAAAGACAAATCATATTGAAATTTGACCATCAATATGCATTGGGCAACTTAATTCTCTGTCCAAATGTGTGTATGTTATATAGCCCCCAAATTTCCTAGTTTTAGGTGCTCTTGCTTTTTATAAAATATTTATAAGAATAAAAAATCATTAATGCTTTCATTTTAAGTGTTGTCTTATTATTTACCTCAAAACTTGGCTTGTACATACACTAGAAATTAACTGAAGTGGGCAAAGATGGCTCTAGGTTCTTTTGCCTAGCAAATTTCAACTTTGAATTAGAAACATGCTATTATCTTTGGTTATACTACAGGAGTCTGTAGTTCAGGTTGTTAAAAGTGTTCCTAGCTAGCTCTAGGATTAACAGCATTAATATTACTTTCCTTTCCGCTTTTACTACATAGGGACTTCCTGGTGACCGAGGGCCTCCTGGACCTCCAGGGATACCTGGTCCTCCAGTAAGTAACCTGAAATGATTTAGCACCATTTAATGTAAATTGATATTGATACGTAGTACTCCAGCAACCAATGTAAAACTACTTTTGTGTGTACAGGGTCCTCCAGGTGGTGTGAAAGGTGAGAAGGGTGAACAAGGAGAGCCTGGCAAAAGAGTAAGTATCATGACTACTAATATTCTTTGCAAAAAATTTAAATATGTGTGTGTGTGTTTGTAATTTTATTCTTTCCTCCTAAATCCTACTTCCATTGCTTCAAAGTGTCACAACTGACATTTATTTATTATAATATTGAAGTTTAAAAAGTCTGCTTAGGGAACGGCCCCATGGTGTAGTGGTTAAGTTTGGTGCACTTTGCCTCGGCAGCCTGGGTTCGTGGGTTCAGATCCTGGCATGGACCTACACCACTTGTCAGCCATGCTTTGGTGACAACCCACATATAGAGTGGAGGAAGATTAGTACAGATGTTAGCTCAGGATTAATCTTCCTCAAGCAAAAAAAGAGGAAGATTGGCAACAGATGTTAGCTCAGGGCTGATCTTCCTTAGCAAAAAAAAAAAAGAAAGAAAGAAAAGTCTACTTAATATAGTTCATGGGAGAAATGAAGTTTATTATATTATTTAACCTCATACTTCTTAAATAACAAATTTATATTCTTGCATTTCTATGAATCCTGTAGGGTAAACCGGGCAAAGATGGAGAGAATGGCCAACCAGGAATTCCAGTGAGTGGTTCAAGTCCATCCCCCGCTCCCCCACCAAAAACTGGCAACATTTTGTATGTGGCAGTTGAGAAGCAGAATGGAAAAGATGCTTGGGTGTGGAAATAGTTTAAATGAATGGAAATTATCCTTTCTTTCTTTTTTGAATATAAATTTGAGATTCTTCTATGTTTTTAAGTCAGATTTATTGAGATATAGTTTGTATACAATAAAATGAAACATTTTTAGTGTACAGTTCTATGGGTTTTGACAAACACATACAGTTGTGTAACAAACTCCATAATCAAAAACAAAAGTTCCCTCATGCTCTTTTGTAGTGATTCCCGCCCCCCACTTGAAGCCCCTGGCAACAACTGGTCTGTTCTCCACCCCTATAATATCGCCTATTCCAGAGTGTCATATTCATCAAATCATATTGTCTATAGCCTTTTGCATCAGGATTCTTTCACATAGCATAATACATTCTACTGTATATCAGTAGTTTACTCCTTTTTTATTACTGAGCAGTATTTGTATGAGTGTACCAAGGTTTGTTTATTTACCCATTGAAGGATATTTTGGTTGTTTATGGTTTGGCCATTATGAATAAAACTGCTGGAAACATTCACATACAACTTTTTTTGTGAACCTAAGTTCTTTTTAGTAAAAGTTTTGATAGATAAGTCTAATTGCTACCAAAAAAAGAGGAAAATGAAAAAGCCAGGAACATTATTTCAAGCAGCCTCAGTATCAAGATTATCCACAGTAGATGCTAAAAGAGGTTTTCAAGGACAGAAAATCTGATGAAATTTGGAGACCATTCTGAAGGAAAGAGATAATAATTCTTACCAAGACTAGAAGTTTGAAGTAATAAAATCAGATAAATTGGTTTCCAGGTGATTTTGCTAAACAGGCAGTCCTCAACTTACAAACTCTGGATTCGTAAATGGCTTAAACATATAAATGGTATAAGGAAAGGTAAATTCAGGGCTTCAGGTCCTGGCTTCTTTTGGAACAATTGGTCTTTGTGTCATGATTTAGGCAGCTATGATGGTGAATAATTGCTTTCGACAAATATCCCCAGGGCAAAGGCTGATCTCTGTTTTCACTGGGAGAACTCAAGTCAGGTCAAATAAAGATAGTCTTGGGAGTGGGGTCTTTTTGGGAACCGCCAGACAGGTCAAATAATGACAATTCTCTGGGAATGGGGCTTTGAAGAAGCTCCAGCCCAGTTCTTTCCCTTTTAATTGCTGCTAAGCTGCTGGTTTTCACCTTGATTGTGAGCTAGTGAGCCACAAGGCTATTGTGGAGATGAGGAAGGGGTGATGGGAACAGAGCAAGTTAAAATACCACAAACCACTGTGCTCTTACCAAGATTGAGGCATTTTTTTCAACAAATGCTTCCTGGATTGCTGAAAGCCTTTGATTAATTTCTGGAGTTCTAAAACACTTGAGTCTGACCATTTTTGCCAGTGTTCTTGTTGCTTTTATGCAGGACGGGATTTTTGGAGGTCCTTACTCTACCATTTTTGCTGATGTCACTCTGTCCTCTATGTTTTAAAGGGTTTGCCTGGTGATCCTGGTTACCCTGGTGAACCTGGAAGGGATGGAGAAAAGGTAAGAATTTTAGTACTTTGAAGTGATTGGTTTTATTCTAGTTAACATACTCCTTTTCTCTCCCAAAGTTGAGTTATAAATGTAAAAGTTCTAAATAACTAGCTTTTTTATTAAAAACATATCTTCTTTATCCATCTTTTGGTTTTGCTCCTTTTTCTTGTATACCACTCCCTCTAAATTTTCATTCATTTTCCTAAATCACAGTCCATGTGGTCTAAATACATGAAGAATTGTTTAACTTTAGCATTTCCATTGTGAAAAGTTGGTGCCTTTACTTTGAGCGTGTATCGGCAAAACTTTTGTTCTCCAGAAAGAGGACTCAGCACTATTTTGGTGAGGTCCTCATACTAAAAAAGCTTGAAGTTGTGAATTTAGAATGTCTCCACTAAACATTTCCATTCTCTATGCAATTATTGTCTAGAAGTCTGTGGCTATTCTTTGTCATTTTTTTCATTTGGCTATGCAGCCTGACTGAAGTCATTTATTTAGTTACCTATTTTAAAAGTGACTTTGAAAGAATGTATGAAGCACACAATTCCCCTATTTATAGCAGATCACAAAATATCCAGTTTTCCAGTCTCTCTGGTCTCTAATTGCTTTGTATGAAAATCAAAACTCAAAGCTTTGTTTTACAAGGAGGGAGGGAAAGGTGTTATAAACTCAAATATACCCAGAGGGTGCATATTTTAATGGCAGTTTATCTCTAAACTAGATCCAAGTTCTAGCTTGGCCTAAGAGGCTCAGCTAGAATAAAAGAAGATAATAAATACTCAGAGAATAGAATTCTTTTTCAAATAATAAGTAAAGTTACAGGACAGAGTAACGCTTTAAACTAAAATGAGCTTATAAATAGATGAAAGGTTCCTATAAACAAGTCTAAACGAGCATAGACATGTAAGAGAGATATCTATCCTTAGGTCTTGACCAGTAGAGTAACAAATGAATACTGTGTTCTTCATGCTGCTGTAGCTACTGGTTAAGGGTAACAGTTTTGTCTGAATTTGTCTTTCATTAGCTTCTAAGAGCAAATTCACAAAAGCTCTTGTGATTTATTAACTGTTTCTGATGATAATTAAGTCCATCAGCTCTAAAATATCTGTCACAAATGGAAATAACACTACATTTATGCCCTTGACATGTTTTATGAAAAGAAACGTGGCTAAATGTAAAAGATTTCATGGTTTCAGCTGATTCTAGTAGTACCAGTTTTTTTTATTCAGCATCTTTTTTATAGAGTATTTATAGTTTGCTAGAAAATAAGAATCTTAAAATCAAAGGATGTTATACCTAGAAATACCTTGTAAATCTGATCTGTATGTAAGGCAGAAAAGTTAATTGATTTGGTCAAGATCGTATAGCTAGTAAATTTGAGACAACATCACAGGTCTTCCTAGGCTTAGCTCAGTGCTGTTTCACCACCTCATGTTGTATTTCTTTTAGAGACATTTTATTATGGATTTCCAGGTTTTTATGAAACTTAGTTATCTGTTACGTTTCTGAGGAAATTGATGTTTTCCTATGATTTTTTTACTAACCTGTTTTACAATTGTATTGAACAGGGCCAAAAAGGTGACGTTGGCCCAACTGGACCTCCTGGACGTGTAAGTTTTTTTTAGTATTCATTTATCAAATTTCTGGATGCATTTTCACTTTTGCGCCTTAATTATATACTCTGTACCTTTTTCTCATAGAACACCAAATTCCAAGTCATTATCAGCTTCTACCAGCTTAAAAGTCTTTACGTCTAAAAACTTCAGTGATGTTGACCTCAAAGTCTTTGTATTGTTCTGCCTGTGTATTATTTCTCTATAGTAAAGATCCAAAATTATGGCGTTGGGTTGTTTTGCATCATGATTGCCAAATCATTTCTCAAGTAACCAGCAGGTGGTGCAAGTGTTGCTTACAAAGCTTCAATGAAAGAAACTGTTGGGGAACTAGGGGTTGGTCTTTTCCCCTGCAGAGCTCAGAAGAAAGATGGATTTGGTCTTAATAGGTTTTCTCAATTTGTAATTGTCTGATTCACACTTCTTTCTTCCCTGAGTGTGTGCTTTCTAGGGGTTCTTAATAACAAATGTAGGGACTGCTCTATAAAAGAGTAATTGGGGAGTTTACAGATTTTCCATCTTGTTTGCATTCACCATGAAATTTAAGTCAAATATATTTCCAATCTTACTAAGAATAAAATATCATTGCCACAGTTTGACATATTGGTTTTCCTTTGGTTGAAATTTGGTAAGACTCTTGACTTTGGACTGCATTAAAGTTTCAAAGGTGCAAGGTCCATAAAACCTTTATGTTCAGACATTTGAGTAATATTAGTTTAATGCTTCTTGTCAAAAGTTAAGTCTCAGATATTGATACTTCGTACTTTACCATATCTAATGAGGATATACTTAAAGAAGATGTTAGACTACTTTTATTCACTTTCATTTTAAAATCAGAGTTTTAGTTCTCTAAGAAATAATTTCTTCATAAAATGAGACGATAAGATTTTGATGAATATCAGAAGAAATGGAAATCTTGAGAGTGCAGTCCTGTCCAGCAGCTCACTTTCCCTTTTGAACTACTATCCCAGTTGTAGGTTCCACGACTTTCAGTCCTCTTTTGTCTGAATATTTCTTATATCCAATAAAACAAGGATGAAATATCACACTTTGCCAGTAGATGTCGATTTGTCCCTCAGACTGACAGTTTCTTAACTCTAAAGCTTATTTACCTTTATAGCTCTATGAGGTTAATTTCTTTATATTTAGATTATGTAATGTGAGCTTCTTTAGGTACTGAGATCTAAGAAGACAGAGAGAAAAGGAATGGTCAGTTAGTTCATTTTAATCAATAAAGCCTTCCCGAAAGAGATGAGTTTTCTATTTTTTTAGAGGAAGAAAGGAATGTGTATGGATAAAGGGAAAAGATTGGGTGAAGGCATTATAGATGTTTGGAATGGCATATTCAAAGACAAAGACAAGAATGTACAAAATGCATGAAGTGGTTATAATCAGACAGACCTCACTCTCCTAAAAATGTATTGCTAGAAATAACAGGAGGTGAAATAAGTGAGAGAGAGAGGACTCTTGACAGAGTCCAGGGTTAAAAGTACCATCAGAGTGGCCAGTCCCATGACGAAGTGGTTAAAGGTCCATGCATTCCACTTCGGTGGCCAGGGATCACAGGTTCAGATCCAGAGCGCAGACCTACTCCACTCATCAGTCATGCTGTGGTGACATCTCATGTACAAAAAAGAGAGGAAGATTGGCACAGATGTTAGCTCAGGGCTAATCTTCCTCAAGGAAAAAAAAAAGAGGAAGATTGCCAACAAATGTTAGCTCAGGGCAGATCTTCCTCACACACACACACACACAAAAGTAACATCAGATATAGTAAGAAGTAGTAAACAATTATGAGTCCTTAAACAGGATAGCTAACACAGAAAAATTGGTTTTTGAGGAAGCATATCCTAGCAGTAGATTTGGATTCAAGGAGACAAATTCAGAGATGCTTTGTTAGTCTAAGTCTGAGGTGAGGATAGTAGCTGTGGCAACAGGAAAGAAGGGAGCAAATTGGAGAGACATTTTTAGTAAAAATTATCAGACTTAGGTGATTGGAATAAATGGTATGTGAATTATAAGATAAGAGACATCAAAAATAATTCTAGCTTTGTAGGCCTGAGGCTCAGGAGGGTGGTAATATTATTACTGGTATTAGACATTTTCTAATAAGTTGAAAGATAGGAGTGATATAGAATGTGACTCAGAATCTATGTAGTAGTCAATGATTTTGTGTCTGAGCGCTTTGTGAAAATGATGGCATTGTAATCGTATGTAGCTGCTAGGTTATTTTCAGGAAAACAAGCCTCTTCATCTTTAAGTTCCTTTATTTTTTTCTCTCATAATAAAGGTAATTCCTAGGCCTGGGACTGGTGTAACTGTAGGAGAAAAAGGAAGCATTGGATTACCTGGTTTGCCTGGAGAAAAAGGAGAGCGAGGATTTCCTGGAATACAGGGTCCACCTGGTCTTCCTGGACCTCCAGGTAAAAAAGACTGCACTTAACATTGTTGTGTTTATGGCATCTTTACTAATCCATGTATACAGTATTATAGTAGTTTCAGGGTGTGCATGACAGTAGAAGACATGAGTATTTTTTAATTGACAGAACCCTCTCAACTCTTACTTCAGTCTTTCTCACCAAATTCCTTAGCTGTACTTAAAAAAAAAAAAAGGAATCAATTGAATAGTGCCCTTTTGCCTTAAAAATACCATTTCTACCTCTTATTATTAATAAATTACACCAAACATTCCTATGATCCAAAAATTAATCATTATACTTTTCATGCTGTTATGGAAGGAACCGCTATTCTAATAATGCCTAGTTTTGTAAAAATTTTGTGCGTAAAGATAGTCAGCAGCACTATTCACTTAGAATTCCAGAAATGTCTACGTAGAAATCCCCATGGTGATTTTGCTGTGCAAAAAAATCTTGGGGCTCAATACTGGGTTTTATATCATTCCTTTGTTGAAGATACACAGTATAATAGAGTATTTTTAATTTGGCCACAAATAGAGCACTGTCATTTGTTTAGCGTGTTTATTTGGATGTTCTCTGAAATGAGATGATAGTATGGATTTATGTAAAATTTGAAAAAGCATCTGGTACAGTCCTTGGCACACATGCATGTTTAATAAATTATGGTTCCTTTCCCTTCAAAAATATTTGGCTATGAAATATTAACACGATGAGATGACTGACACTCAGTGATCCTCCCAAGGAGAAAGAGGGTAAATGTGGGTCCCATTCTACTCTAACTAAATATGCACTTTAGATTTCTAATTTCAAGATAGTGGACTAAACGCATACTGTGTCTGGAAAATGGAGATAAGGAATTCTCCCTGGATGCAGCAAAAAAAAGTTCAAGAGTTAGATATTATGAAAGAAAAGTTAAGAGACACAAAGATAAACCTAGAAGTTCCAAAATCCGCCATGAAGGAGTCCAAGGAGAAGAGAATGGGACAAGAGGCAATATTCGAAAAGTTAATGACTGAGAACTTCTGTCTATTCAAAAAAGACATGAGTCCCTGTGGAAAGGCTTGTGAACTACTAAGCAAGAGTAAAATAATAATAATATAAAAATACATAACTAGACATTGTAGGGACGTTTTAGAATTTAAGGATAGAAAGAAACTCTTAAATAAAATTATCTTGAGAAAAAAGGCAGATCACCTATGAAGCAGTGAGAGTCAGAGGAAGATAATAGAGCACATTTTCAAAGTGATAAGGAAAAATAACTATGAATTTAGGATTCTTCATTACATCAAACTATCATCCTAGTGTGAACATGGAATGCTTAGAAAGTATATCACCTCCAGAACTTCTCTGAAATAGTTAACTGGAGGTTTTACTCCAAGAAGAAGGAAATGAATTCAGGATGAAGTTGGAGATGAAAGTGGGTAAGATGCAAGAACCAATGGATGTGAAAGATATTAATAAAGTATATTAAGTCTAAATAAGTGTTGATCATAAAAAAATAACAGAGGCATTTTAAGGAAGAACGTGGAACTATAATTGTACACATTATTAGCATAGCATGTGGAGGTGCAGAGGGAATAGGGAAAGTCAATGATAATGTTTTTTGTCTTGTTAGAAGGAGAGAAAATAAATATTATTAACTCCGTAAGTTTTTAGAAAAATATAGGATTAAGTACACAGGTTAAAATTTTAGTAGTAATAACCAGAGAAGAATAGAATAAAATACACGATTTATATGCTCATTGAGGAAAAAACATGACCCAAAATCTTGATGTATGTAATACAAGTTAGGATTGGGGTAACACAGGTACAGATAAACCTGGGTAAATAGAAAATAAAATATACGATGGCAAGAAGTTAAAAATAATTCAGTAACTCCAATAAATGTGAAAGGACTAAACACTGACTAAACGACAAAAACTGAAATAAAATTGGAATAAAAATATCTATATACTGTGCACAATAGACATATCTAAAGTAAAAGGATATAGAAAACTTGAAAATGAACCAAGGGAAAGATATTAAGCAAATGCTATCAAAAAGAAAGTTTGTTTAGCAATTCCAATATAGCATGAAATAAAATTCAATGCAAAAAATTCACCAAAAAGACAGAGACGTTTCATATGGATAAATAGGCAAATTATACTACAATGATATAAAAGTCATGAAACTTTATGCATCTAAAAATATAGCTTTGACTATATAAAGTGAAAATTGATAACCTACAAGGGATAAATTGACAAATTCCTAACATATCAAGTAGGTGGAAAATAGATATGGATATAAAATATTTGAGCAACATAATCAAGCTGTATATATGGGAGAGAGAAAAATTTTGTGTACAGCAGAGAATATACATTTCTTTTCAAACACACATGAAATATTTATAGAAATTAACTCTATTAGACCAGGAAAAAATAAAAAAATCTTTAAAAATTATATGTTGGTCATGCTCTGTGACCACCGTGAAATAAAGTTAGAAATTAACAACAAAAAGCATCAAATATCTTTACATTTGTATATTAAAATGCACATTTGGAAGTAACTCTGAAAGTAAAGAGGAAACAGAAATGGAGGTGGCAAACTACTGAATACCAAACAGCCTCATATCAAAACTCATTAAATGTAGCCAAAGTGGTACCCTTAATTTATCACAAAATTAGAGATACTAAAAATAAATGAGTTAAGTTGAAAAAAATAACAAGAAATAAAACATGCACAAACAAAATAGAAGGAAAAACTTGATAAAGGTAAAAATAACAATAAAATATGATCAAGATAGAGGCAAAAGAAGGCACAAATAAAATCAGTAAAGAAAAAAAGTTTATTACCATGAATACAATTAAAATGTTCAAGTTACAAGAAAACTGTATCATATATTTGGAAGTTTAGATGAAATACACATTCCTCGTGAAACAGAAAACATAAATTACCAAAACCATCCTGAAAAAGTAGGAAACCTAAGTAGATTAATTATCATAGCAAATTCTAAAATGTTAAAGAACTCTATGAAAAAGCATTGGTTCTATGGGTGGTTTTATAGAGTTTTATGGATGAATTCTCCCAAGTTGTTGAGAAGGTAATTTTCATATTTTACAAACTATTTCAGAACATTAAAAAAAAGGAAATTTAATTTAATAGCAATGATACCAAACCACCAGGGAGATAAAACCAGAAATAATCATAATTAAGTCTCATTTATGAATGTAGGAGCAACAATTCTAAATAAAATATTATCAAATCAATCCAGAAGTATATTAAATAATATATTATAACCAAGTAGATTTTACCCTAAGATTGCAAGGATAGCTTAACATTACTGTAGTTGACCACACTGACAGATTAAAGTAGACCAATGGATGCAGAAAAAACAGTCAGTAAAATTCAATACCCATTCATTTTTAAAAGGAAAAAAATCTTAAACTAAGATTAAGAGGGAACTACCTTAACTTGATGAGGCTATCTACTTCATCCAGGAAATATAGCACTCTACAGGAAATGTCATACTTTGTGGTGAAACATCAGGAGCATTCTCATTCAAGTCAAAAATAATATAAAGATAGTTCCGAGTCGCCAATACTGTTTTGTCCTTATAACAGAGATGCCAGCCAGTGCACTAAGTCTGGAAGAGAAAAGGAGGTGTAAGGATGAAACCCAACCACACACATTTTGGTTACTCACAAACCATATGATAATCTACCCAACCCTAAAGAGTCAAATGACAAATTACCCGAAATTAGAATGTTTGCTAGATGGCCAAATCTGAGTTGTCTGAGTTGCATACTTAAATAATTTGCCTTCCTCTACACTAGCAATAAAATTCACAATAATAATCAAATTAACCCCTGAATAAACCCAGCAAAAGTTGTGTAAGACCTCTTTGCAGAATTTTGTGAAATATTATTAAATCATAAAATTAATAAATGGAGAGATATACTTAATTACTTGATGTGATAACTCAATATTATATACACGTGATTCTACCAAAAGTTAATCTTTAAATTCAAGTTAATCTCATTCAAAATTACAATGTTTTTTTTCAAAAAAATGAAACTGACGCTCTGATTCTGAAATTCATTTAGAAGAGTAAATTTCTAAGTGTAGTGAACATGGTTTTTAAAAAGAACAAAGATGGGTATATTTTCCTTACTAGTTTTGAAAACATTATAAAGCTGTAGTAATGAAATAGTGTGTTAATGGTGCAGGAATATATAGTGGAACAGAAGAATGTCCAGAAATAGAGCCATGTTTACCTGAGACTTTGAAATGCCTTTTTCTCTTGCTAATGGCTTTCTAGTATTTCTGAGATTAAAATATCATAATGTCAAAGATGAGTGGGTAGAGAGTTATTAGGACATTTTCAAAGTAATAAAGCTACCTTAAATTATTCTTTCTTACACTCAAACTGGTACTTACATTATTTGAAACTTTCATCCTTTCTGCAGATGTTGATTGTAGAATAAATTAGAATATAACTAGCATTATACATTAAAGGAAGATCTTATCATTACTTAATGTCTTATTAAGATCCAAAGTAGTGTCTTTGAAATAAGATCATTTTGATCACTTTAAAGGTATTTTTTTTTAATCTTAGGGACTGCAGTTATGGGTCCTCCTGGCCCCCCTGGCTTTCCTGGAGAAAGGGGCCAGAAAGGTGATGAAGGGCCACCCGGAACTTCCATTCCTGGACCTCCTGGACTTGATGGACAGCCTGGGGCTCCTGGCCTTCCAGGTCCTCCTGGCCCTCCTGGCCCTCACATCCCTCCTAGTAAGCTATACTTTTCCCTTTTAGGTTCTATTATTGTTTTTGTTTTTGTTTTCATTTATAAGTGAATTTAGCTGAAGGTTAGCATCATTCTTTATGTTTCTGATATCTAACAGATTCTATTGCTGCTTCTATTTTTGATTTTTGGTGATTCTTTCATGTTTAAATTTGCTCTTCAAATTATCACCAATGTTGTATCTTCCTTTTGCTTATACTTAGTTGTACTACTGCAGAGCAGTAACTGAGAATAGGTCCTTTTTTCTAACCTGTCAGGCTTTCTTTTTGTTTAGTCTTCTGGATATTTCACAACAATTAGCTTGCTTTGTCTTATCTCAGGTGATGAGATATGTGAAGCAGGCCCTCCGGGCCCTCCAGGATCTCCAGGTGATAGAGGACTCCCGGGAGAACAAGGAGTGAAAGGTTTGATCCCCAAATTCATTCCTTCATTCTTTCAAATCATCAGGCAAATCCCCTATATCCTCCACCCTAGCTCAAACACTCCCTCCCATGATCATACCCCAAGACCTCCTCATTACCAGTAGTGCACACTTCCATAATCTTGATTTCATGAGTCCCATTCTCTGACCACTATATCCTAGCTTCCTAGCTCACTACCTCTAATAACCTGACTCCAACATTACTTCAGCCTCACTGAGACCTACCAACTTTAACTATCCCTCAACCTTTTTGATGTCCTTTCTTCCCTCTTAACCTAGCTTAAATTCCTTAATCAATCATTGTAATCAATCCCATGAATAAACCCTTGACTCCTTCGCCCTCCTCTCACTTCCTTGTACTCACTTGGAACAAAAGCATAGCCCTGGTAATTGCCAATCACTACGTCTTCTGAGCTTGCACCTTCTCTTCTCTCTTCAAACTTCCAACACCTCCTCATCTACTCTCATTTTAAGATTCTGACTTTGCTTCCTTCTTCACTGACCAATTGAAGAAATAGCAAGAGAACTTTCACAGATTACCACCACTACATTTACCCACCTCCTTGCATCTGTGCCTATATATTCTACCTTCCTGCCTATTATTGTTACTGCTCCTATCTAAAGCCAGTTCTTCTATTTGCATAATAGATTCTATTCCTTCTTGTTTCCCCAAGGATTCCATTTCAGAAATTCTTGCCTCTCCCACATCGTCAATTTTTCCCTGTTCCTGGATCACTCCCAGCAGCATACAGATATCCTTTTTTAATCTATCTGAAAAATACCTTCTCATAATCCTACATCACCTGCCAGATACTGCTCTATTCCTCTGCTCCCATTTGCAGTAAAACTCCTCAGGAATTTTCTACTCACTGTCTCTAGATAGTGTCCTCTCATTTTCTCTTAAACATACTCTAATCTGGGTTTTACTACTCCTTCACCCACCACTCCATAGATGCTGCTTTTCTCAAAGTCACCAGCAGCCTATACCCTGCTAATCCAAATATCAGGTCTCAGGGATTATTTTACTTGATTTTTTCCATGTTTAAGGACTTCCTTCATTTGGTTTTCAGTATATTACATGTCCTGCTTTTCTTCATACCTCCCTGGAATGTTATATAAGATATAGTTATGTCTCTCTATATAGATATGTCTCTTTTTATATATATGTCTCTCTCTATATATATTTATCTATATCTATATCTATCATCTCCCATGTGACTACCATCTAAATCAAAATGTAGAACATTTCCAGCACTCTAGAAGACTTTTTAAATCCCCCCTAGTCAGCACTCCCAAAGGGTAACCCAATTTTATTCTCTATCATGCATTTATTTGCCTAATCTTGAACTTTGTATAAGTGGAGTCATACACTATGGGATCTTTTGTGTCTAGTTTCTTTTGCTCGATATATTATCTGTGAGATATATCCATGTTTTTGTTTGTAGCAGTATTTCTTCAGTGCTCCTTACTATTTCATTGTGCAAATATACCTAAATATCCATTCTAATGTTAACATACATTTGATCTGGGGCTGTTATGAATAAAGCTGCTGTGAACATTCTTATACATATTTTTTGTAGGACATAAGCATTCATTTCTGTTGTGAATATACCTGGGAGTGCAGTTGTTGGGTTATAGGGTAGGTGTAGGTTTGTTTTCATAGATAACACCAAACTATTTTGCAAAGTGGTTTTAGTTTCAATTTCTCTCGTGACTTGTTGATGTTGAGCCTCTTTTCTTATAGTCTGTACATTCTCTTTGTAAAGTGCCTATCTTTTTCCTATTTTTAATTGGATTGTTAAATATATGTATTACAACTATCTTCTCCCATCCTCTGCCTTGTTTTTTCACTCGTCTTTTCTTGAATAGAAGTTATTAATTAAAATAAATCCAATTATTAATATCCTCTTTTATGGTTACTGCTGTTTATGTTCTGTTTTAGAAAACTTTACTTATCCCAAGGACCTGATGATATTCCTCTGTGTTTTCTTCTAGAAGTTTTATCGTTTTGCCTTTCACACTTTGATCCTTGATCTATCTTCAGTTAATTTTTGTGTATTGTTTGAAGCAGGGATAAAAGTTCATTTTTTCCCATATGAATATCCAATTGACTCGATATCATAATACGAAGGACTATCATTTCCCCACTGAACTGTGTTAGCACTTTTGTTGTAAATCTTATGACACTGTATGTGTGAGTCTGTTTCTGACCTCTCTATTTGGTTCCATTGTTCTATTTGTTTCTCCTTGCACCAGTGCCAGACTGTCTAAATTACTGTAGCTTTATAGTAAGTCTTGGCTTACTTTGCATTTCCATATACATTTTAGAATTACCTACCCAACATTTGATTTGGGGTTGCCCCACGGTTTAGTTCTTCTTCCTCTTCTCTTCTCCATCTGAAGTCGTTCAGTCTCATGACTTTAAATACCGTCTACTTTCCAGTGACTTCCAAATTTATGTCTCCTGTCCAGATATAAGTCTTTTCCTCTATATTAGTATATCCAACTGTCTGCTTAACATTTTGAACTTGATATCCTGATCAAGTTGAAGTCCTGATCTCTTTCACCTCCTCCCCCATCATTTTTCCACTCATGTCTTCCCTTTCTCATTTAAACGTGTCCACTCCAGCCTTCTGGTTGCTGGGGCTGAAAACTTTGGAGTCATCCTTGATTCCCCTCTCCTTTTGTATTCCACATATGATCCATGAGAAAATCACATTGGCTCTACTTTCAGGTATGTTCAGAATCTGACCAATTCTCATCATCTTCATTGCTGTCCCTTTGGGATGGGCTATACCATTTCTCCTAGATCACTGCAGCAGTAGCCACTTAAATGGTTACACTGTTCCCATCCTGGCACTTAGATTCCATTCTTAACATAGCAGCCAGAGTCATCCTTTTAAAACTTAAGTCATATCATGTTGCTTTTCTGTTTAAATTCTTCTACTAGATTCTCCTTTCACTCACAGTAAAAGCCACAGTCTTTATGGTGGCTTTATGGTATGTGACGTTTTATAATATGGTACTTGCTGTAACTTGTTAACTTTCTGACTTGGTTCCCCTTCCTCACTCTACTCCAACAGTCTGGTCCCCTTCATGTTCCTTGTATATGCCAAATATGGCTATTCTTTCTGCCTGGAATGCTCTACACTTGGTATGAACATACCACGTTGTTTGAGGTTTTTATCATATATCATCTCAATAAGATCTATCCTGACTACCCTATTTAAAGTTGCAAACTGCCACCCATCCCTGGCATATCCAATTCCATTTACCCTTCTCTATATTTTTCCTATAAACATAACATCTTTTGATATATGTATAAATATAATTTAATAATATATATATATAAAATCTCATAATTTGTTACCTTCATTGTTTATTATCTCTTTCCACTGGTAGAATGCGAGCACCATGAAGTCATGGAATTTTGTCTGTTTTGTTTACCAATGTATCACAAATACCTAGAACAATGCTTTGCACATAGTAGGCACTCAGTAAATATTTATCAAATGAATTGATTCTAGATATAGGCTTCTCTAATTACACTGTTAGGTAGGAATGTTATTCTTTAGTGCTAACTTCTTTAGAACCTATCTAAAGAAGGTAGACATACCCTTTTTAGTAAAATTTGTTTTTTTATTATGGTTTTCTCTAGGTGACAAGGGTGACACCTGCTTCAACTGTATTGGAACTGGTATTTCAGGGCCTCCAGGTCAGCCTGGTTTGCCAGGTCTTCCAGGTCCTCCAGGTAAAACATTCTGCCTTAGGGCAACATTTAAAAATATTTCTTAACTAGATTTTAGTGAGCTCTTAGTTCTAGAATGATGCCAGTTTCTCATTTTATAGTTAGTCGCTCATATCCATAAATAATTAAATATGAAATGCCTCTATCTGCTATGAAATAAATTATACTCTTGTTTCTAGTACCTGAAGCTACCAACATTTTCTATTAAAGCATTTTGACAATATTATTCCAGGAAACATATCTTCTATATTTTCCATATGATGAGGAAAATAACTTATACAGAGTGAGATTCCTTTCTTCCAGAAAACCAGGGGGAAAGTTCATAATGCTTGGCCCTGAGTATAGTTTCCAGTGGCAGAGCTTCTAGTCACAGGGAATGTATCACGTGTTGTCATTAAGGAACGAAGCTTCTACTGAAGTTTGGCAACTAACTGCCAATATTCCTCTTTCTATATATAACTCCTCCTTACCCATTTCCAATCAAAAGCATATTTGATATCCATCAGATCCGCAACTGTTTTAGTCAACAGCCTCTGGGGATATCCCAATATTATATTCTCTTAAATCATACTTTATGTCTGTGTCAGGGCTGAGGATAGACACCAGATCTCTTACCTTTCTGTCTAGTATGTCTGCCAAGGAAACCATTTCATTTGGAACTTGGAAATAGATTTTTAGCAAGTCTTATAGCTTTCACTGGAAGGTAATCATGTAGCCTTGTACCTCCAGTCTAGTGTTTTTCAAACTTTGGACTGCATCAGAATTACCTAGAGGGCTTGTTAAAACCCAGATTTCTGGGTCCCACCCCCAAAGTTTCTGATTCAGTAGACCTGGGATGGAGGCCCAAGAACTATCATTTCTAACCAGTACCCAGGTGATGCTGATGCAGCTGGTCCAAGGACCCATTTTGAGAACCCTGCTTTGGTAATATTTTCTCTAGTCTTTGAGCACCAAACGTTTCTCATAAACCAAATTTTCGGGAGTGACAAACCAAAGAAAGGACTAGTAAGACTCTAGGAAAATTGTTTAAGTCAGAACAAAGAAAGATATGCATGCTTTGCCCTTATCTCCTTCTCCCCTTGGCAATGGAATGAGTATAGTAGCCTGAGCACCTCTGTACATAGTACTTGGTAGCTGCAAGCTCTGAAAGGCTTTGAAGTTGAAAATAACTAAGGTTACAATATTGTATGTAACATGAAATGTTAGATTTACTTAAAAGAATGAATGATTTCCTCATTTTGAGAACATAAAATAGGAAAATGTAAATGTGAATTGTTAAATGGGATTGAATGGTGTTCTTATTTTAAAACTTGACTTCCTGACTTGCTGATTTTTATATGAGCTTTGTCATGGGCTCAAGCTCAAAGCTCACATTAATTGTGTGTGTGTGTGTGTGTTAGGATCTCTTGGTTTCCCTGGGCAGAAGGGTGAAAAAGGACATGCTGGTGCAACCGGTCCCAAAGGATTAACAGTAAGTTTTGAGTATATTATAGAGCAAAAGAAGTAGAAGAAAACCATTTACACTTTGATTTTTCACTCGTGGATATATGTAAAGGAAATTTAGGTTTTTTATTAAATTGTGATTTACTTGATTCCTTGACTCTCCCTGACTCACATGCCTCACCTGCTTCATAGCTTTGTACACTAAATGTTATTGGGTGAGTTGATGGGATAAACTGGACAGACAAAAGTGTTAGAAAAAAAAGAAACTAATTTTTTTTTTCTCTTTCTTCTGTTTCCTCTCTTTCTATCTTTTATTTCCTCAGGGCATGCCAGGAGCTCCAGGTGCTCCAGGCTTTCCTGGATCTAAAGGTGAACCTGGTGACATCCTCACTTTTCCAGGAATGAAGGGTGACAAAGGAGAGTTGGGTTCCCCTGGAGCTCCGGGGCTTCCTGGTTTACCAGGCACCCCTGGACAGGATGGATTGCCAGGGCTTCCTGGCCCCAAAGGAGAACCTGTGAGTTGGTTTGATATTCTTGGTTTCATGATGTCAAATTGTTACTTTCTTAGGATGGGCCTGGTGCTGAGAGGAACACCCAATCAATGCTTAAAAGAATGTGATTGTATGTAGTAATGGTGCATTGTTATTGACTATGTAGGGTTTCTGTACCACTCTTTTCTCTCAGTTATTTTATAAGTTCCTTCTTCTTAACTCATTATTATATTGAGTAATATTGGCTATTAATAGGTGGGCAGGAGGTTAAGATGCTTATGTGTCAGTATAAGGTTCCCTTTCTCCTACCCCACTTATTCTTGTTTGGGTTTATTTAGATCTGAAACAGAACTCTAATTTAGTTTTTATATACAGACGTACCTTGGAGATATTGTGAGTTTGGTTCCAGACCACTGCAATAAAACGAATATCATAATAAAGCAAGTCACATGAAGTTTTTGGTTTCCAAGTACATAAAGAAGTTATATTTAGACTATACTGTAGTCTATTAAGTGTGCAATAGCATTATGTCTAAAAAAACAATGTATATACCTTAAAAAAGCACGGTATTGCTAACTAGCCTTTGGCAAGTTATAATATTTGTGCTGGTGGAGGGTCTTGCCTCTATGTTGATGACTGCTGGCTGATCAGTGTAGTGGTTGCTGAAGGTTGGGGTGGCTGTGGTAATTTCTTAAAATAAGACAATAATGAAGTTTGCTGCTTTGGTTGACTCTTCCTTTCATGAACGATTTCTCTGTAGCGTGTGAGGCTGTTTGATGGCGTTTTGCCCACAATAGGACTTCTTTCAAAATTGTAGTCACTCCTCTCAAACCCTGCCACTGCTTTATGACCTAAGTGTATGTAATATTCTAAATCCTTTGTTGTCATTTGAACAATCTTCACAAGGAGTAGATTCCATCTCAAGAAACTACTTTCTTTGCTCATTCATAAGAAGCAACTCCTCATCTTTTCAAGATTTATCATAAGATTTCAGTAATTCAAGCTCCAATTCTAATTCTCTTGCTATTTCTACCACATCTGTAGTTACATCGTCCTCTGAAGTCTTGAATCCCTCAAAGTCATCCATTAGGGTTGGAATCAAATTCTAAACTCCTGTTAATGTTGATATCTTGACCTCTTCCAATGAACCACGAATGTTCTTAATGGCATCTAGAATGGTAAATCCTTTCCAGAAAGTTTCCAGTTTTCTTTGCGAAGATCCATCAGAGGAATCACTATCTATGGCAGCTATAGCCTTACAAAATGTATTTCTTAAATAATAGGACTTGAAAGTCAAAATTACTTCTTGATCCATGGGCTACAGAATGGATGTTGTGTTAGCAGGCATGAAAACAACTTTAATCTCATTGTACATCTCCATCAGAGCTCTTGGGTAACCAGGTGCTTTGTCAATGAGCAGTAATATTTTGAAAGGAATCTTTTTTTCCAAGCATTCGGTCTCAACAGTGCACTTAAAATATTCAGTAAACCATGTTGTAAACAGATGCGCTGTCATCCAGGCTTTGTTGTTCCGTTTATAGAGCACAGGCAGAGTAGATTTGGCATAATTCTTAAGGACCCTAGGATTTTCAGAATGGTAAATGATCATTGGTTTCAACTTAAAGTCACCAGCTTCATTAGAACCCTAACATGAGAGTCAACCTATCCTTTGAAGCTTTAAAGCCAGGAATTGACTTTTTCTCTCCAGCTGTGAAAGTCCTAGATGGCATCTTCTTCTGCTATAAGGCTGTTTCATCTACACTGGAAATCTGTTGTTTAGGGTAGCCACCTTCATTAATGATCTTAGCTAGATCTTCTGGATAACTTGCTGCAGCTTCTCCATCAGCACTTGCTGCTTTACCTCGCACTTTTATGTTATGGACACGGCTTCTTTCCTTAAACTTCATGAACCAACCTCTGTTAGCCTCAGACTTTTTTCTGTAGCTTCCTAACGTCTCTCAGCCTTCATAGTATTGAAGAGAGTTAGGGCCTTGCTCTGGATTAGGCTTTGGCTCAATGTAATGTTGTGGCTGGTTTGATCTTCTATGCAGACCCCTAAAACTTTATCCTTATCAGCAGTAGGCTGTTTTGCTTTTTTGTCATTCATGTGTTACTAGAGTAGCACTTTTAATTTCCTTCAAGAACTTTTCCTTTGCATTCACAACTTGGCTAACTGTTTGGTACAAGAGGCCTAGCTTTCAGGCTATCTTGGCTTTCAACATGCCTGCCTCACCAAGCTTAATCATTTCTAGCTTTTTTTTTTTTTTTTTTGATGCGGAAGATTGGCCCTGAGCTAACATCTGTTGCCAATCTTCCTCTTTCTTTTTCCCAAAGCCCCAGTATATAGTTGTATATCCCAGTTGTAAGTCCTTCTAATTCTTCTGTGTGGGATGCTGCCACAGCATGGCTTGATGAACGGTGCTTAGGTCTGTGCCCAGGATCGGAAACAGTGAACCCTGGGCTGCCAAAGTGGAGTGCGCAAACTTAACCACCACACCACGGGGCTGGCCCCAATCATTTCTAGCTTTTGATTAAAGAGAGAGATGTGCGACTCTCCTCTTACCTGAACACTTAAAGGCCTAATTTCAATACTGTTGTCTCAGGGAATAGGGAGGCCTGAGGAGAGGGAGAGAGATTGGGGAACGGCCCATAGTTGGAGCAGTCAGTCAGAACACACACAACTTATCGATTAAGTTCGCCATCTTATATGGGCACAGTTTGTGGCACCCCAACACAATTACAATAGTAACATGAAAGATCACTGATCACAAATCACCATAACAAATATAATAATAATGAAAAAGTTTGAAATATTATGAGAGTTACCAAAATGTGACACAGAGACACAAAGTGAGCAAATTCTATTGGAAAAATGATGCCTGTAGACTTGCTCAATGCAGGGTTGCCACAAACCTTCAATTTGTAAAAAACATGGTATCTGTGAAGTGCAATAAAGCAAAGCACAATGAAATCAAGTGTTCCTTTATAGTAAGCTTAGAGATTAGGGTGAATAGATGACCATGTTAAATGTGCCACAAAGCCTGAAGATTGAATATAAATGAACAGTCTTGTTTTGTGCATAACACACAGCCCAGGATATTTAGGTGGGAAGTGATATTTTATAAAATTATTACTAGACTGTAAACTGTTCAGCTTAAACTAGAATGTGAGCTTCATGAAGGCAGAGATTTTTGTCTATTATTGTTCTTTGTCATGTCACTAGTGCTTGGCACATAGTAGGAACTCAAAAATATTTGTTGAAGAAATGAATGACTAAGTGGAGTGATCACACATACCATCTGATAGTATCACACACTTATGTAGCTTTTGAGAACTATTTATGGCTGTATCATTTCTCTAGTTGTATTCAGTAATATCAACCTACAGATAGCTGGTATATCTATATGTTTCTGTATTAAACTTTTCCCTTTTCAGGGTGGAATTGCTTTTAAGGGTGAAAGAGGTCCTCCTGGGAACCCAGGTTTGCCAGGTCTCCCAGGGAGTAGAGGGCCTATGGGCCCTCCTGGTTTTGGCCCTCCAGGCCCAGTAGGTGAAAAAGGCATACAAGGTGTGGCAGGAAATCCAGGCCAGCCAGGATTACCAGGTGAGTTTACTATGGTTGTTTTGTTGTTAGTTTGGTGCTTAAAAGCAGAAATCTATTATCTTTTGGCCAGTCTTGGCTTCCTTTCATGAGAGATGTGTTTCCCTGGCCATTTATATTTGGGCTTTTCATAGCTCTTTAGCAAAGGAACACAGTGTGTGTGTGTGTGTTTTAAGGGTGATTTCTCTTTAAATTGTTTCTGACTGTCTTCATTGTTATTGTTTTTAAGTACATGATACATAATGCAAAGTTTAACAAATACTTATAATGGAAACACACACATCAAGGAACAGAACATTGCCAGCATCCTACAAAACCCCCATCCTCTTCTGTCTGTCCTTTCCTGATCACAACCCCCTTCCATTTCTCCAAAGATAAACACTGTCCTGACATTTGCATAATTTCCTTCCATTTACCCCCTAGTTTTATCACCTAGATATGCATCCCTAGACAAATATTTTAATTATGCTTCTTTTTGAACCTTACAGTAATGGAATCATAAAGTACATATTTTTTATATTAACTTTGTATAGCTACAGTACATTCATTTTCATTGCTGTATAGTATCCTTTTGTGTGTGTACCTGTGTGTGTGTGTGTGTGTGTGTATCACAGTTGATTTATCCACTCTATTGTTAATGGACAATTGAGTTATTTATGGTTCAGGCCTATTATAACTAATGCTTCTATGTATATTCTTGTATGTATATCCTGGTGTACATGTGCACACACTTCTCTGGGGCCAGGATCAGCGCACTATGGTCCATGGATCAAATCTGGGTCACCACTTATTATCATAAATGAAAGTTTTGTTTGAACCCATCTACACTCATTCACTATTGTCTATGGTTGCTTTTGCACCGCAATCACAGAGTTGGGTAGTTGCTACAGAGACCATATGGCCCACAAAGCCTACGGTATTTACTGTCTGGGTCCTTTAGAGAAAAAAACTTGTCAATCCCTGGGCTGTGGTATACATTTAAGATTAGCATTTTCGAGGCATAGGATAAATGCATCTTCAGCTTTACTAGATAATCCCAAACTATGTCCAGAGCAATTGTACTAATTTGTACCCCCACCAGCAGTGTTGGAGATTTCTTTTTGCTGTACATTCTCGTAAACATTCTATCTTGTCAGACCTTTACATTTTTGCCAATCTGTTGAGTGTGATATATCTCATGGCAGTTTTATTTTTCATTTCTCTGATTGCATTAAAGTTTAGCACCTTTTCATGTTTATTGAGTATTTGAATTTCCACTTTTGAAATGCCTATTCAAGGGTTTTGACCATTTTTTTCTATTGGATTGTTTCTTTTTCTTATTGATATAGAGGAATTTTTAAATATGTATTCTGTGTATTAGTTCACAGAATTGTTAGCTATTTATTTTGCAAAATCTTCACTCACTGTGAGCCATTTTCACTCTCTGTATGGTATCTTTAATGAACAGAAATCAATTTGAATGTTGTCAAATTTATTAATTTTTTTCTCTCATGGTTAGTCCTTTTTATATCATGTTTAAGAAATCCATCTTTATTCTGAGCCTATTTCAAGTTCCTATTTCAATTAATGAGAAGTAGGTGCAATTGAACTGTGCACACATAAAACCTCAAGGTACTGTTAGTTTACCAAAAAGTAAAAATGTTTTTCTTATTTACTACTGTTTGATTTTATTTTAGGCTCTTTTGACCTATATTTAAAAAATATTTTTATAGATGCCATCTTCAATCATGGAAGCTCTTAAAGCTGTCATCTACTTTTGTCTTCGAAATTTCATCTTTCTGTTTGATATCTTCCTTGAATATATAATATGGGATTGTTTTTCTTGTGGGTTTTTGTTAGTTTGCATTTTCAAAAGATTATAGATACTCTCTTTTTTTAATTAAAGGAGATCTTTAGTCAAGTGAACACTTCTCATTCACTATTGATTCCCTTTCGTTCTTAGGTCCTAAAGGTGATCCAGGTCAGACCATAACCCAGCCCGGGAAGCCTGGTCTGCCTGGTAATCCAGGCAGGGATGGTGAAGTAGGTCTTCCAGGTACGTGAGGAATTTATTTGACCACATCTTCAACACTTAGTGGCTTCTTTCTTGGAAAGTTTCTCTTTCAAAAAACTACTGTTTCTCCCTAGGTGACCCTGGACTCCCAGGCCAGCCAGGCTTGCCAGGAATACCCGGTAGCAAAGGGGAACCAGGTATCCCTGGAATTGGGCTTCCTGGACCACCCGGTCCCAAAGGTATGTAGGACTGAGTAGCAGTCAGGGTAGGTTAGCTAGTTAGTATGACATTATTGTTTGCTATAGTTCACTCAACATATAAAATATAATAATTGTACCTTTTTTCTATGTACTATAAGGAATGTAAATGGAAAATCACAGCATGTATGCACTATAATTTCATTGTCTTTAGAACAAGAAAATATCTAAACTATAGATATGCAAAAATGATATATAAGCTTTAAAAATCACAGTAATTATGGTTTTTTGTGTTCACCATTGTATTTTCAGGGCTTAGAAAAGTTCCTGGCACATAGTAAGCACTCAATAGATATTTGTTAAATGAATGGGTTGTATTAAACAAAAAACAGATTTATTGCATAAATGTATCAAGTAATGTTTTATCCTAAATCATATTCTCTTGATTTACTGAAACTTTTTAGGGCTATTGCTTCAGCTATGCTTTATTCCTCACAGAACTTATTCTCATGAAGGCAAGAGTGTGCACTGGTCTGAGAACAGTGCTTAAACACGTCCTTACTCATTCATACTAAATGACTTCAAAAGTGTCCGATTTGATTTCGTGTGTATATACGTGTGTGATACCTGCAATTGTTTTTAGCTCATTTCCAGAATTATGTGATGAGCCTTTTATCGTACTATATCCAGATGTAAGCAGAAGAAAAGTTTTTCTGTGTTTTTGTGTGGGATTCATTCCTTATGTTTAGTTCTAGCTCATTAGCAATAGGTCTCATTTTCCATTAGAAAAGCCTATCTTCCACACACATTAGCTGTATATGAAAATGATAGGACCATAAGGTGATTAAGAGGGAATACCAAGTATCTGTAAGGCTTGATCCTAAATAGTTATCTAGAATGTCATTGTGGTTTTAACATCTTACTGTAGTCACTACGCATGACTGGATAAAGTGAAAATGTGGGTTTGGGAGTTTGGATATCTTTCTTAAAGTGATATCTCTTTGGAAATTAAAAAATGACTTATCACTTTACAGGTTTTCCTGGAATTCCAGGACCTCCAGGAGCACCTGGGGCACCTGGAAGAATTGGTCTAGAAGGCCCTTCTGGGCCACCAGGCTTTCCAGGACCAAAGGTCTGGGACATTTTACTTTATTTTTTTCCCTTTTGCTATCTCCTCTACCTTCCTTAGCCCTAGCTCTCTATTTTGACTTAGACATTATCCCAAGCCTTCCCTGTATAAATACAACTTAGCTAATTATATTTTCATTTAAAATATTTAACCCAAAATAATCCAAGAGGTCATATTTGAGGCAAAAAGAAAAAAAGTTTCTGAACCTGTTTTAGAGTGACCAATTATTTGATGAGATGAGATGAGAGATTATAGATGAGAGAATACAATCATTGGCTCCCCCTGGGCTTCCCTGTAGTATCACCATCCCATTTAATCTCTGACCATGCCTGTGTGATGATTGGTTAAAATGGTGTTGAATAGCATGTCAGGAACTTCCCATACTGTTTTCCTCTGTCCCAATTCCATCCCAGATACATAATGCAAATCACTGCTATTGACTTAGTAGTAATAGTAATAATAGTAATAATAATAATAGCAATACTGTGTTTGAGTTACCTCCCATTCCTTTTATTATATCTTAGCTAATCTAAAATTTTTCTCAGTCAACCTTCAGCAAACTGCTGTGGTATGAGGTATCCTGACTGTTCCTGTATTTCATCTGTGCTTAATTAATGTAAGCTTCCTGTGTTTTCATCATTACTACTTTTTTTCACGGGAAGGACAATGAACCATGACCTCAGCTTTCATGAGAAACCACTTCTCTATTGATTGTTTTTATTTGCATGTGAACTTTTTCAAATGAACACAAAAGTAAAGGGAATAATGCAATAAATTTTCATATATCCATCACTCAGATTCCAAATTATCAAGATTTTATCATATTTGCTTCATCCATTCCTTTTTCTTTACTGAAGTATTTTAATCTACATCTCAAAATTGTGTCATTTCACCTATAAATACTTGAGTATTCATCTCTACGTAAATGGACGTTTTATATGGAAACCACAATGCCATTATTATACTTTGTCAAATTTAAAATAATCATCTAATACTCAGTCTATAATCACATTTTCTCACTTGGGTTCTTTAATCTCATGCTCTCTCAGTTATCTCTTTCTTGTCCAGAAACCAGTCCAAATCATTTAATTTGTTTTCTAAGCCCTGTTTCCCATCCTTCCAGATGTTCTCTTCACATACCAATTACTTTTCATTTGGTTGTCCTACTCTCTCTCCCACAGGAAACAAAAAAGTATTACCTTGTACTTTCTGCTTTAAATTCTCTATGGTAAACAATAAACACCAAGAAAGTCATGGGAATTTTTGTTGTGTTTTCTCATGTGTATACTCAAGGGAGAACCAGGATTTGGGCTACCTGGGCCACCTGGGCCTCCAGGACTCCCAGGTTTTAGAGGAACACTTGGTCCAAAAGGGGATCGTGGTTTTCCAGGACCTCAAGGTCCTCCAGGACGCACTGGCTTGGATGGGCTGCCTGGACCAAAAGGTATGGAGGCTTTTACTACTTCTCAGTTTGCTTTTAACTTTTATATAAATTGGAATTGTTGGACAGTTCATAGATGATAAGTGAAATTAACTGGAAAGCCCATGCTGCCACTCTGTCACAGCTTTTGTGTTTTCTTCCTCCGTTGATATTTTTTGTGTTTTATTTCATTGAATAGATGATATAATCGTATATGTATAAAACTAACACTGAGAAGTCTTCCTTTTACCCCATCTCAATTCACTCTGTTCCTCCCATCCCATATGTAGCCACTTTGTAGTTATTTATCCTTCTAGTATTCCTTCATACCAATACAAACCACTAAGAATATATATTTTTATTTCCTACCTTTCTCAAAAGATAGAGTGCTACCTTTTGGCTTTTTGCACTTTATTTACTTCACTTAACTTTGTATCCTAGAGGTCACTCCATATCATTACATAGAGATCTTGATTTTTTTAAAAATAGCTGCCTAGTGTTGAATTGCTTGGGTATACTATAATTTATTCTACCAGTTGCTAGTTGCTATATTGGGTTTTTGATAATCTTTTCTTATTATAAATAATGCCACAGTGAATAATCTTGCTGAGATGTTATTCCTATGTGTACAGGTGTAATAGTAAAATAGAGTAATGAAAATGGATTTCCTGAATTGAAGGGTAAATGCGTCTCTAGATATTGTCAGATTCCTCTCCATTTGCACCATTTTACACTCCCAGCAGCACTGTATGAGTGTGCTTGTTTCCCCACGGCCTTGCTAAGTGAGTATGTTGACAAATTCTTGGATTTTTGCCAACCTGCTGGAAGTAAGTAGGTATCTCAGTATAGTTTTTTAAACATTTTATTGTGAAAATTTTCAAACAGAAAATTAAAACAATTGCACAGTGAAAGCCCATATATCCACCACTTAGATTCTACAATTAATATTTTATCTCTCTGCCAACATTTTATTTTCAAAATTTTCATATACACAGCTAAGTAGAAAGAATTTTATCTATCAACATTTTACTTTACATGATCTGTCATGTATATATCCATCCCTTTCTCCATCCATTGACTTTGATACATTTCAAAGTAAATTGCAACAAAGCAGTACAGTTCTCCCTAAATACTTCAGCATGCATACCATAACCACAATTTTATGGTGTTTTTCTTTTGATATAAAAGTCACATTAAATGAGATCCACAAGTCTTAAGGGTACATTTGCTGGAGTTTGACAAATGCATACACCTGTGTATCCAAACCTCTATCAAGATATAATCCTAGAAATTTCCCTTTTGCCCCTTTCCTCAGTCCCTACGCCAACATACGCAGTGGCAACTATACTGTAATGATGTTTTTAATCATAAATTAATTATACCTGTTCTAAAACTCCATATGGAATCATACAGTATGCAATTTCTTTGTAAGGCTTCTTTCACTCAGAATATTGTTTCTCAGATCCATTCATGTTGTTGTGTTTATCAGTAGTTCTTTATTTCTTGTTATTGGGTATTTCATTGTATAAATATTCCAAAGTTTGTTTATCTATTCTCCATTGATGGACACTTGGACTGTGTCAAGTTTTTGGATATTATGAGTGAAGCTGTTAAGAACATTCTTTTATAAGTCTTTTTATGGATATGTGCTTTCATTTTGCTTGTAAATATCTAAAAGTATAATTGTTGGGTCATAAGACAGGAATATATTAGTTGTGTAAGAAACTGCTAGACCATTTTCCAAAATGATTGTACCATTTTAAACTCACACCAGAGTAGTATGAAAGTTTCAATTGTTCCACCTTCTCTCCAACATTTGGTGTTATCAGTCTTTTCATTTTTTATTTTGGTAGGTGTTTTGGTAACATATTTTGGTTTTAGTTTGCATTTTCCTGATGACCAATGATATTGAACTCTTTTACATGTACTGGTGGGTTATTTATGCATTCAAATATGTTTCCCATTTTAAAATATGGGTTGTTTCTCTTTCAATCAAGATCAAGTTGAAAGTGATCTTTATATATCTTGTGTATTGGTCCTTTGTCAAATATGTTTTTATGAGTATTATTTCCCTATGTGGCTTGCCTATTCATTTTCTTATCAGTGTATTTTGACAAACAAAAGTTTCAATTTTATTCATGTTTCATTTGTCAATTATTTTCTTATATGATTATTATTTTTTGTGTTTTGTCGAAGAAACCTTGTCTTGTCCCAAAGTTATAAAGATATTCTGTTTTATTTTATTTTTCATAGTTTTAGCTTTTATGTTTAAGACTATTATCCATCTTAAATAATTTTATTCAGCATCATTTGTTTAAAGAGCTCCCTCCCCATTGGATTACTTTTGTGTCTGTGTCAAAAATTAAATGACTATTTGTGTGTGGCTCTGTTCCTATGCTATCAATTCTACTTATCTATTTTGACTATCCTTAAGTCGATACCAACTGTTTCTACTACAGTAGCTTTATACTAAGACTTGATATCAAGTAATATAAGTCCTCCAACTTTGTTCTTTTTTAAAAAAATTCTTTGGATATAATAGGTCCTTTGTCTTTACTCTCAGGGTATTTTAAATTTGTGTTTCCATTATTATAAGTGAAATTGACCATATTTTCATATGTTTGAGACATATATGTTTTTTCCTATAAATGCTCATGTCCTTTGTTCATTTCTCTGTTGATTTCTTCTACTTCCTTGGTTTTGATTCCCCTAATTATGTATAGGAATAGAATTAACCTAGCTGGTTTAGCAATTGTTTTTTCCTTTCTGGTTTGCAGGGAACTGAAGTGTCCTGGTCAATGTTTTGGCCCTCAGAGAATAATCTGAACAGCTCCATGTTCCTGAAACATGTTGGATTGATTCCTATTAAAACAATAAGACTGCATAGCCCAATTTAACCAGGCTAGATTCTGCCAGCAAAAGCCCCCAAAGAGCTCAGTACAAATTCTTGTTAGATAAGCTCTTTAAAAAATACCTTTTGTCTTTGAGTAAACAGTTCTGGCCAGCTGTAAACTGGAATACTCATAGTTACGGGTAGTTTTTTCCACCAGTTATCACCTCCAGCTTAGACCTGTGATCCAGAAAATTGCGGATAGAGACATTCCACGTAATAAGCTATGTGGCAAGCAGTTTCCCTATTGAAATTGCTCACTCAGTGTACTTTGTTTATAAAAATGTCCTTGAGATAGTGGTTGAGAAGAAATGGGTTGAAGCCTATTTTAAACATCAGCTTCTTAGCAGGCATATGCCTAATCTTTGAAAGGAAGTATAGGATCCCCATATCCTAATAGGAATCATTCTCAAGTATTAAAACCCCAGTATAGTTCCTAAGGTGCTAGAAGAAAAAGAATTTGGAATTTTCTGCTATGTAATTCCTTCATTCCACCAACAGTTATTAGGTTCTTATTCTGTGCCAGATACTACTTGAGTCACTAGAAACACAAAGGCATAGACTCTGCTTTTGAAGATGTCAGAGATTGCTCTCTAGTGTAAGAAAATCTAGGTGGCATCCCTGTGATAGTGGTTATCTCAACAGGAACTTTTATGAATTTCTATCACTAATGTTTTGGATCAATACAGCACAGTCAAAACTCAGCAAGCAGATCACAATGAAAGTTCACCCACCAGACACACTTATACCAGTGGCTGAGTATTAGAACTTAGTAACTAAAGTATAGGAGAGATTAATGCAGCACTTTCAAAGCAGCATAGTGACCAATTAATATCCATCAGGAAAGAAGTATATGAGGAAGAAAATGTGCTTAAGACTAACCATTAGAATCATGTTAAGCAAAAATGAAAAAAAGAAGATAACTATTGAAGTATTCAGTCTCGCTCATATGTTACTTTTGTTCAGTGCCTCATCTATGGTGACTTGGGAGGCATCAAATGGGAGGAGACACTTGAACTGAGTTTTTAGGGAAGAACATCCCAGGTAGCAGGAGTAACGAGCAAAAGTATCATTATGACTAATAGAATGATGTGTTTAGAAATATTGAAAGAAATAAAATTAAAATATAATTTGCAAAAAAACCTATATCATATCTAGAAATTAATAAAACAAAATGTGCCTAATGTATTTGGGGAAAAAATTAAAACTTTATTATTAATGACTTTAAAAAAGGTAAAATTAATTGGGTGATAAATCATATGTTTGGATGGGAAGAGTCTATGATGTCAACTCTTCCCAAATTTTTCTGTAAATATAATGCGTTTTCAATGAGAATTCAAGTAGGAGATTTTAAGAATCACTTGACATGACCGATTCTGAAACTTAATATTTACCAAACATATACCAAAATATATTATAAAATCATTGTAATTATAGCATTGTGAACCAGTGCAGAAACACACAAGTAGACCAATAGAGTAGAAAGAGTCGAGAAACATATTCATGTATACATAGAAACTTGGTATATCATAGAAATATCATCATTAGTAAGTAGGGAAAGAACAGAGTCTTTAAAAGTTTGTAGTGAGTAAGTGGTCTCAATGAAATAAATCCCTAATGCACAATATATTTAAAAAGTAATTAGGGGCCAGCTCCGTGGCCGAGTGGTTAAGTTCGCACATTCTGCTGCGGTGGCCCAGGGTTCGGATCCTGGGCGTGGACATGGCACTGCTCATCAGGCCACGTTGAGGTGGCGTCCCACATCCCACAACTACAAGGACATGCAACTAAGATATACAACTGTGTACGGGGGGCAGGGTTGGGGAGATAAAAGCAGAAAAAAAAAGATTGGCGACAGTTGTTAGCCCAGGTGCCAATCTTTTGGGGAAAAAAAAAGGAAGGTTGGCAACAGTTGTTAGCGCAGGTGTCAATCTTTAAAATAAATAAATAAATAAAAAGTAATTAAAATCATAAACATGAAAAGTAAAATTAAAAGAATTTTATGAGAAAATGTGGAAGACAGGGAAAGATAGATTTTTGTGGCACCTTAAGATTATACAACTTTGGCAGCTCTCTTTTATAAGTAGAATATAAAATTACAAATAGAGAATTGGGATATTGTAATGCCTGAAATCTGCTAATCTTCAACCAACTAGACTTTATGCTCAGTCAACTACCATGGGCAACACTTGGTATTAACTTCCTGTAGAAGGATGCAAGGATAGGATGTACACTATTCCAGCAATGCAGTGTCTGGTGTTTCTCTTCAGCATGACTCCTCAACATTGACATTTATAGAACATTCCACTCAACAAGAGCAGAAAATACATTCTTTTCGAGTGCACGTGGAACATTTACCATGATAGACCATAATCTAGGCTCTAAAAAAGACTTTGACAAGTTAAAAATACTGAAGTCATATAGTAGATTCTCTTGCCATAACAGATCTAACAAGAAATCAGTAATAGAAAGCTATCTGGGAAAATCTTGCCATATTTAGAAAATAACCAAAACACTTCTAAAAAACCCATCAATCAAAGGAGAAATCACTAGGAAAATTAGAAAATATTTTAAATTGAATGAAAATGAAAGTAAAACATATCAAAATTTGTAAGATGCAGATACAGAAGTGATTAGGAAAAATTCATATATGAAAAGTTTTTATTAGGAAAAAAGAACAATCTCAAATAAATTCTCTAACTTTTGACCTTAAGAAATTAGACAAGGAAAGCCAAATAAAAAGATGATCAGAAGATAGAGCAAAAATAATAATAAGAGCAGATATCAATGAAATCGAAAACTGAATACAATAGAAAAATTCTCTGAGACCAAATGAGGTTCTTTGAAAAGATTAATGAAATGGATATTCTTCTAGCCAAGCCAACCAAGAAAACAAGAGAAGAGACACATGATACTAATATTAGGAATGAAAGAGGGGACATCATACAGACCCTACAGACATTAAAAAAATAACAAGGGAGTATAATAAATAACTATATGTCCATAAATTTGACAGCTTAGAGGAAATGAATGAATTTCTTGAAAGATACAAACTATTGAAGCTCACTTAAGAAGAAATCGATAATCCAGGTGTTTATTAAACAAATTGAGTTTATGGGGCCAGCCCAGTGGCATAGTGGTTAAGTTCACACATTCTGCTTTGGCAGCCTGGAGTTCTCAGGTTCGGGTCCTGTGCAGACCTAAACACCACTCATCAAGCCATGCTGTGGTGGAGTCCCACATACAAAATAAGGGAAGATTGGCACAGATGTTAGCTCAGGGCAAATCTTCCTTACCAAAACTAAATCAATAAACAAAGGACTTCATCAAAATTTAAAAAAATAAAGAATATGCTTGTAGCTAAATATTAAAAAAAAAACGAAAGTGAGTTTGTAGTTAAAATCCTGCCAACAAAGAAAACTAGGTCCAGATGGCATCACTGGTAAATTCTAACAAACATTTAAAGAATCAGTAACACCAGTTCAATACAATCTCTTCCCAAAAATAGAAGTGAATGGATTGCTTCCCAACCATTGTATGAGGCCAGCATTACCCTGATATCAAAACCAGACAAAGGCATTACAAGAAAAGAAAGCTATAGACTGGTATCTCTCATAAATATCGATGTAAAAATCCTTGAGGAAATATTGGCAAATCAAATCCAACAATATGTAAAAAGGATTGTACACTACAACCAAGTAAGGTTTATCCTCAGAATAGAAGGCTGATTTGAAAAGTAGTGTAATTTGCTATATCAATAGTCTGAAGAAGAAAAATTATATTATCATCTCAATAGATGCTGAAAATTCTTTGACAAAATTTAACATCCATTCTGAGAAAGTACTCTCAGAAAATTAGGAATAGAAAGGAACTTCCTTTGCATGATAAAGAACGTTTACAAAAAACTTGATCCTTCATATTTAGTGGTGAAAGACTGACTGCTCCCCCCCCCCCCAAAGATACGGAACAAACACAAAGATGTCCTTTCTAACCACTCCTTTTCAGTATCTACTGGAAATCCTATAAGGCAATGAAATGCTACAAGGCAAGGAAAAGAAAGAAAAGGCATGCAGATTGGCAAGGCAGAAATAAAACTATTCATAGATGACATGATTTTCTACATAGAAAATCTTAAGGAATGTACAAAAAACTCCTAGAACTAAGAAATGAATTTAGTAGGATCATAGGATACAAGGCAAATATACAAAAATGAACTATATTTCTATATACTAGCAATGAATAATTAGAAATGAAAATTTTTTTAAAAAAGCGATATTTAAAATAGCATGAAATAACACGAAATGCTTAGGTATAGTTCTAACTAAATATGTGCAGAATGCGTATGTGGAAAACTAGAAAACACTTATGACAAAAATCAAAGATCCAAATAAATGGAAAAATATGTTGTGTTCATAAATTGGAAGGTTCAATATTGTTAAGATTTCAATTTTCTCCCTGTTGATCCATAGATTGAACATATTCCTGAGCAAAACTCAGCAATAGTTTCTTTTTCTAAAATTTATTTAGAAAAACAAAGGACCTGGAATGACCAAAACAATTTGAGAAAGAATTGCAGAGTTGGAGGATTCATCGTACTTAATTTCAAAACTTAATATAAAGCCACAGTAATTAAGATAGTGTGGTATACATGAAATGACAGACACATAGATCGACGGAACATAATAAGCAGCACAAAAATAGACCTACACAATTGGATTTTTAACAAAGATGCAAAGGCAATTTCAATAGAAAAATAAGTCTTTTCAACAAATGGTCCTAAATCAGTTGGACATACATATGCAAAAACAAAACAAAAAAAGATGAATCTTGACCCATACTTCATATCTTGTGCAAAATTAACTCAGAATGGATCGTAGACCTAAATGTAAGACCTAAAATGATAAAACTTTTGGAACAGAGGCAGGCAAACATTTTCTATAAAGGGCCAGATAGTAATTATTTTAGTCTTTGTGGGCCACCTTTGGTTTCTGTCCCATAAACTTTTTTTTTTACAACCTTTAGAAATACAGAAACCATTCTTAGCTCAGAGGCAGTTGAAAATCAGGCCTACAGGTCAAATAGCCCACGAGCAGTATTTTATTGTACCTTGTTTTAGACAAAAGCATAGGAGAAAATCTGTGTGATTGTAGGTTAGGCAAAGAGTTGTTAGATACAACACCAAAAGAATGATCCATAAAAGAAAAAAATTGATAAGTTGGACTTCATTAAAATGAAATGTACTTTCATATCATTTGTCTGACAAAGGACTTATAACCAGAATATATGAAGAACTCTCAAAAGTCAATAATAAACAACCAAATTTAAAGAATATAATTGGAAATATAAGCAAAAGATTTGAACAGATACTTCACCAAAGAAGAGATATGAATGGCTAATAGGCACATGTGAAAATTATCAATGTAATTAGTCATCTAAGAAATGTGAGGAAAAACTACAAGGAGATACTACTTCCTGTCCTATCGGAACAGGCTTCAAAAAAGAAGGAAGACTGACAATACTAAGTGCTGCCAAGCATACATAGTAACTAGAACTTTCATATATTGCTATTTGAAATGCAAAATGGTACAGCCACTTTGAAAAACAGTTTGTCAGTTTTGTATAGCATTAAACATACCCTTACCACACTCACCCGGCAATCCCACACCTAGTTATTTATCCAAGAAAAGGGTAAACCTTCACATAAAAACCTGTAAGTCAATATTCATAGCAGCTTTATTTATAATCAACAAGAACTGGAAACAGCCCAAATGTCCTTCAACTGGTGAAGAGATGAACAAATCATGGCATATTCACATAATGTAATCTTATCCAGCAATAAAAAGTAACAAACTACTGATACATACAACAACATGGGTGAATCTCCATGCATTATGTTAAGTGAAAGAAGACATACTCAAAAGGCTACATACTGTATGATTGCATTTATATGATATTCTGGAAAGGGAAAAACTATAACATGTAAAATAGATCAGCAGTTGCCAGAGAATTAGGGTGTGGGGAGGGTTTGACTCCAACCAGGCACAGAGAGCCTTTTAGGTGATGGAACAATATCTATGTTTATCTTCAATGTCTTGATTTTGATGGTGATTATGTGACTATATACATTTGTCAAAACTCATCAAGGTGTACATTAAAAAGAGTGAATTTTAGTATACATAAATTTTTTAAAGTAAGAGGGACAGACAGAAGATAGACAGTGAAGTTTCTAAGGTCAAAGAAATGTTTTACTAATGATGGGAGAGGCTTGAGCATTTTTATAGGCCATAGGCCCAAGTTAGTAAATAGGAAGATGTTAAAGGTTATCTACCTTAAAATAAGTTAATTTGAAAATATATTTTAAACATATAAATAAATACTTGCCCAAGATGAGTTGCAAGTAAAAGAAATGTGTGGTGTGTAATATTTTGTGAAGTTGATTTAAGTACTGAATTTGAGTGTTCATCATAAGTTAAACTACAAGTCTGTAACTTTTAATGGATTCCCTATCATCTGCTCTGAGTACTTGTGCCTACTTTTCTCCCTTAATGAATGGATAGCTTTTCAAGATCCCTGCTTAATATGATATGTCTTTTCACATGAGTATAGTAGTTCCTAAGGACTAGTGACTCAACTGTTGTTGTTTTTAAGATCTAAACTACATTTATTTCTTAAAGGTGACATTGGACCAAATGGACAACCTGGGCCAATGGGACCTCCTGGGCTACCAGGAATAGGTGTTCAGGGACCACCAGGGCCACCGGGGATTCCTGGACCAATAGGCCAACCTGGTAAGATTGGAGTAAATGTGCATTTTTGTAACACTCATTATATAGAAGTTGGTTAGTTCATCAATAAAGTGTAACCTACGTTTTCCAGAAAACAGATTTGAGAGGTAACATATCTACTTGTATAATTTTGTAAAAGTGAAAAAGTACAGATCACAGCATAAGAGCTGTTTTAATCCCTGATATTTCTCCTCCCTGTTCATTTAGAATTGATCTGTTAACGATTGCAGTATGTTGCCACAGCATATAATCATTGAGCTAGTGAGTCTTGAAATCACAAACCTAAGAACTTTTACTGCTGATCATTTCAGACCTGAGTAACTACAGTATTAATAGACCTTTGTCTGTGGAACCTCTTAACATTTCTTAGCACATGAGAACTAGAGTTAAAAACGTTCTATTAAAAATATATTTTAGGCATTCTCATTTCTTTTTTTAAATATTTATTAAGTGAGTTGAATTTTTTCCTCTTTTGCCCCTAAATCAGCAATCACTTTGCAACTCATAAGTACTCTAAATTTTTTTATATGACTACACAAAAGTGTTTTGTCAGCTTGTAACCTTATATCGAATCATATGGTTCTTCTACATTTGTGTGAGAGCTCACTCGAGTTTATGGATTCTGAGCCATCTAGTGATGTGAATTCTTTTTACTTAATGTAGACAGGCACACTAAGGACCACTCTTGGGCCAACATTATGTTTTTTCAAAGCACTGTAATAATTCATAAAAATAAAACAAATATGCAACATTTAATCATTCTTTAATTTACATGAATGCATCAGATGACTTAAGCACACAGTTCAGATTGACATAGATTGATTTTGAAACAACGGAAATATATTTTCTGACCTTAAATGGCAGTAGGTATTTTCTTAGTTATTATGCTAAAAATCTAGAAACACTGATTAACAATATAAAAACCATGGAAAGTAAAGATTATTTTTATGTCCTATTTAAAAAATTTATTTTATGGAACATTGTCACTTTTTTTTATAGCCCGTAACTTGTTACTAGTGATTTAAAAATAAGAAAACTTAGTGTTGCTTTGAACCAGGTTGTTATAAAGTATCTGTTTCAAGGCTCATGAAAAAAACCATTCTGTCCAACTAGCATAGCAGAGAGATCTTGAGAAAAAACAATTAATATTTAGGTTTGGCCATTATAGTCTTGGCCTGCTGTTCCACAAAGGTGGCTAAAATGAATTTAGCATTTCTGTTGTGTTTTGTCATTTCTTTTATTTCCCAAAATTGCATGAGGTTTTGGAAGCATTTTGAATTCTTAAATCGCAGCTGAGCAAAATAACCAATCTGAACAAAATAAAAATACATTTATTTGTGCTTTACACTTTTTCAAATTTAGCTAATACTCTACAATGTTTGGTTCATCTAATGTTCTCTCTCTTTTTGACTGATAGATATTGAGATATATTGGTTTATAAAATCTAGATAGGTTGGGCAAAGGGAAAAGTATCGGTGCTTCTTTTTCTTCTGTAAATGTATACTTTGCTTTAGAATTCAAGATCTTAACTAATATGGCTCAACAAACAAACGATGTTAATAGCAACTGGCATGACAATGTATTGAATGCACTCTGATTAATACAGAATGTTCTCAAATCACAGTTTTTTTTAACCACAGGATGGACCACAGTTTGTGTTTGAAACTAACTGCATAAACAGTCGTGCGTTGCCTAACGACAGGGATCCGTTCTGAGAACTGTGTCATTAGGTGATTTCGTCATTCTGTGAACATCATAGAGTGTACTTACGCAAACCTAGATGAAATAGCCTACTACACACCTGGGCTATATGGTACTAATCTTATGGGACCAGCATCGTATATGCAGTCTGTTGTTGACCAAAACGTCGTTATGTGGTGCATGACTGTACTCACTTTTTAAGTAAATTTTATTTCTATCACCAAAGCGGAATGTTATCTTAGCCCATTTCAAAAATATCATAATTTCTGCTCATACATTTTAATAATTTCTGTTCATACATTTTAATAAGTGGGCGATCAGCAAGGCTATTACTAATATCTTGATACACTTGACTTATACCACATGACTGAAATTCTACCTACCATTTTTTTAAATAAGAAGCTTATTTAATATACTTGCTGTGTTTAATTTAAACTTAATGCAAAGTATTCTATATCGTCATCTCTCCAGTGTAAAGTTTTCGCATTATACTTTTTGAGCTTTTCTTTTGACTCCAGTTTTCTACTCTTATTTAATTAAGCTTTACTATTTGTCATTCTCTTTCCCAAGGCAGGCTATACAGTTTAATGCTTGTTTATGAATTAAGGACCTGTTGAATATCAATTCCTCATTTGACAGCAGGGAAATAAAAGAAAAAATGCCAAGGGACAAGAAGCAAAATGCATTTCCTCCAATGCTCTAGTAACCTAGGCAGAAATGGAAGTTGTTGATTCTTGTTATTTGATCTGGCTATTAGTGAGAAGATTACTACTTTAGTGAATCTTTTTAGAGATCACTTAAACATACTCAATTCCATGCCCACAGGTCATACCCTATCCTGAGCCAAATGTGTTGTAATGCTTGCCCAGTCTAAGGAAAAAAGGCATGCCTGAATCAGTTCAAGCTCATCACTACTAATGTGAATCAAAGAAACAAGGAATTAGTCGTGTCATTTTCATAGATGGAGAGCACATTATATAGTTTTCTAACTTTTTTTGGCTATAAAACCCTTGGGCAGTGTGTGTGTGTGAAGTTCTCACAGATAATATACGTTTTTGAAATTTTCCCTTTTTTTCCATTAACTGGTTCCATTTGGCTGCCAATAAATTTGGAACTTCTATACATCCCTAATGTGCTTAGCTTCTATAGATATATCCATATAATTCTTGTTATTGTGTAAGGAGATTCAGCAGAGCTTTTGAATTTATATTGACTTGCTTTATCCTGGATTTTACCAGGATGTCTATTCCTGACAGTATTCGTGGAAAAGATCTATTCTGTGGAAAGTGCAGCATAATATCTGTTACTACTACTACTAATAGCAATGAAGAAAGAAATCCTTGCCTAGTACATGTAGGTTGTTTAATCATAGTCATCCACTAATAATTATTGAGTTCTCTTTTCCATAACCTGTTATAATATAAAATCAAATTAATTTTTCAATTCTCACTAACCTTTCGGAGCTCAAATTCCAAAATGGTTATTCAAAGCAATATAAAGATCAGAGATAAACAAGAGCATAAAGCTGATCTTAATCAAAAAGTATTAATTTTGTGAATGCAAATGTTTTATTGTGTCTCTATTGGCAAATACATTTGATTTATAGAATATGCTATATGAAAATCTGAGTGAATGCCTAAAATAAGTTTCTTTACCCATTACTAATATATCATAGTAGAGAATCAATATCTAATAACTTCTATTTGTAGATTTTTTTGTTCTAATCTTTACATGCTTAGTTTTGTTTCCTAACCTGATGAATCTTTTTGCAACTTGCTTCTGCTTGGGTGGCTCATCTTGCTGCTGAACTGTAACTCCCTGCCTCTTGAACTTCAGGTCTACCAGGTACTGTAGTTCTTTCTCAAAAGCCATATCTTAAAGTAAAACTTTCAACTTGGAAAACAAACAGATTTTTCCAGATTTAAGTCTTTGATTTCTTTTCATTATTTTGTAGAACTGTTCTCTTGAACCATATTTCAAAGGACAAATTAGTTATCTTGAAAACTCAGCTATTAAAAAACTACTTGGGCTATAATATAACAACAGGCAGTGATCCATGTAGAGCTATAATAGTGCTCATTATTAGGTATCTCATCATACTTCGCAAATATAATAATATAAAATCTCTCTTTCCTTTTTATAGTATTTTGCTTTGAAATGGCAGCATTGGAACCACCACCACTGTGCCAACTAAATGGAATTCTCTAATCTTCAAATTGAATTTTATCAGTTTAAGGACATGCTGGTATATAACATCTAACAGCAGCATCTTGCTCTCTTATAAAAATAATTGCCTATGAATCTTCAACAATAAAATCAGATCTTATTGTTGAAGGGACACTTGGAATGGTCACCTGGCTCAGCCCCCAGCTTCCAGTCAGTTACCGCATATCCCTATTTAACAGATGAGGACCAACGACATTAAGTGACTCACTAAGTCACATAACTGATAGGTATTGGAGTCGGAACTTGCACCATGTTTGTAGTTTAATTCTTTTCCCTAAATGTATTCTTTTTTAACCATCTTGTTTTTTGGAGTAGTTCAATTTTACAGAGACTTGCTAAGGTTAAATATTTTGGCAATGTCGTACTTTTTCTGTAAAATCCTGGTTGGAATACCAAGAAACAAAAGTTAACAGCAAAAATTAAGGGTGATGTCTTATTAAAACAACATGTAAAACAAAGGCAAAACAAGTCAAGAGGGTCCATGTAACTGACTTATTCAGTAATTAATCATTTTTATGGATTATGGAAACATATCCCAATAATTCATAATACGGTAGAGGAATGCAAATCCAAGCATGGTCAACGGACCAGTGTCGAATCACAAACTGTTTGTTACCAGTCTGCATTGGAATTAGAAGAAATTGAGAGTAAGCATTTAGAAACCTTTATAGCAATTTGACAGTGTAATTATATTTGTTAAATACAATAGTCAAACAGTAGGCTTGTGTTTTGTATGCCTTTGGTGTTTTATTTTAGTTTTTAGTAATTTTTACTGTATTTTATTAAAAATATTAGTCCATGATGGACTAGGAATTAAGAAAAAATTAGTCTTTCACCAAAAATAGTTTGAGAAGCACTTTCTTAGAGAAACATGCTTGAAAAATCCTAAAGTTTGATTGTTAGGTAATTTTATGTGCACGATGCCAAAAGTATCTCTAATTCACTATTCGTTTTGTTATACACAGGATTCTATCACATGTTTGCTAGAAAAATAATCAGATACATCTCTTAAAACTGCTTCAATACTTGTTAATATTGATGTATTAACTAGGCTTGCATGGAATACCAGGAGAGAAGGGAGATCCAGGGCCTCCTGGATTTGATGTTCCAGGACCCCCTGGTGAGAGAGGCAGTCCAGGACTCCCCGGAGCGCCTGGTCCTATGGGACCCCCAGGATCACCAGGGCTCCCAGGAAAAGCAGGTGCCTCTGGCTTTCCAGGTAATTTGTTTAAGGTTTTCTCTGGTTTTGGATTTAGGAAATTCAAATTAATATGATTCTGGTATATTATTCTCCTGTACTTTTCTGAATTGACACTCTCTCTTAAGGAAAAGTGTTAAATGTCTGATTGCAAGAAACCCACTTTGCTATTTGCATTAGACTTTTTTTCTGTGAGAGCTCCAGTTGTATATTGCTGTATAACAAATGACCCCAAAGTTTAACGACCTAAATCAACCTTTTTATTTTGCTCAAGATTTTGTGGGTCAGGAAGTAAGTGATGACTTGATGGGGTCATCTATCTCTCATCCACATGGCACCAGATGGAGTGGTTAGTGGTGAAGGATCTACTTCCAAGATGGCACTTATCTGACACCTGAGTGTTCCTTGGTCTCTTCACATGGTACCTCATTATCCGTAGTGCATTATCCGAAGTGTGGTTCATTGGAGGGCCATCTTTGGAGATTAGCTTCCCAGTGAGTCTTTTTATTCATGGATGTTGACAATAGTGATCACTAAGTTTACAATAGTTGAGAAGGGTAAAACTTAGTAGCTTCCCTCCCAACCCTCAATAGTTTTCCAGTTGATATCTTAAAACTTATCATTTATCTTTCCAAGGTCAAGGAAAGGTAAAAGTTACTTGTTGATATTCTTCAAAGGTGCCAAAGGTGAAATGGGTATGATGGGACCTCCAGGCCCACCAGGACCTTTGGGAATTCCTGGCAGGAGTGGTGTTCCTGGTCTCAAAGGTAATGTTCAGAGTTTGCTGACAGATGCGTGTAAGAGTGAAAATTAAACATTGCTTTATGTAAATTTGGAATATTTTTATTTGACTGCTTTAAAATGAACAATGCTTACTTGTATTTTGTTTCTATGTGACGTAGCATTTAAGTAGGTCCTGTTTTCAATTTGGTGGCATGCTTGGTTTGGATACCATGAAACACGGTAAATGCTTAGCTCAAAATAACAAAATACAGGGTTTACATTTTGATAAGTTTTTTACAGTCTCTGTAATTGTCAAAGAATCCCAGAAGAAAGAGATATTATTATTTGAGTATAAAAATATATGTGAGTTCAAGTTATTCATAGACAATAACCAAGGTGCATAAATGTTTTGGGTGGTCAGCAGCCTACCCAACTATGGAACGTATGGATAATCTTTGTATGCATTAATCCTGGATGAATGAATCTGATCTGTTGTGTCTTCCCCACACATGTTGGTTTTAGGTGATGACGGTTTACAGGGTCAGCCAGGACCTCCTGGCCCTGCAGGAGTGAAAGGTGGTAAAGGAGAGCCTGGCCTTCCAGGCCCTCCTGGACCAATGGATCCAGATCTGCTGGGCTTAAAAGGAGAGAAGGGGGACCCTGGCTTACCAGGTGAGTGAATGCATTTATTTATGAATGTGATTCCTGGTATATCTGAAGTTTAATTTTTAATGGCATGAAAAGTGATTTGTAGTCCAGGATTCATCACCAAAAGGCACTTAGATGCATCAAATTTTGGTAATGAAAATTAATTTTCACTTGATTTGCACTATTTCACTGATCAACTTTTGTTTGAATATTTTCTTAATAGTTTATCTATCACAGCCATGAGGTGTTAAAATAGACTTAGACAGTCACTTTCAGGCCTTCCAGGAAGTAGTATAGAATAATGATTGAGGGGGCTAGTCCAGTGGCGCAGCGCTTAAGTTCATATGTTCCCCTTCGGTGGCCCAGGGTTTGCTGGTTTGGATTCCGGGTGCAGACATGGCACCACTTGTCAAGCCATACAGTGGCAGGGGTCCCACATATAAAGTAGAGGAAGATGGGCATGGATGTTAGCTCAGGACCAGTCTTTCTCAGCAAAAAAAGGAGAATTGGCAGCAGATGTTAGCTCAGGGCCAGTCTTCCTCAAAAACAAATAGATAAAAATGTATTTTTTAAAAAAAAGAATAATGGTCGAGAGAAAAGGGTGTATAAATAGAATCACTTAAAGAACAGATTTCAGTGTTTGGGAAATTTGCTGATTCTTTAAATTTTTTTCCCTTGAAACCAGATAGGGATGAGTGGTACATTGTAACTCTGCAGGGTTTTCACATCCATATCATACTTGGCTTTTAGATACAGTTCATTGTTATTCTACTTTGGCAGAATAAACAAGTATTGGACTATGAACAGCCAAACTCAGCCCTGGGGGAGATAGCTGAAAGTGGGTCTAGGGAACAACTGTGTTATTATAGTTGTTTTATTAGAAGCACATAATGTATGAAGTATAGCAATGATTTTTTGAATAAAAAAGTTCTTTTTTCTTTTTATAGAAGCATAACATATTCATAACAAAGCATCAGAAAATATGGATAAGCACAAATTAATAAATAAAGCACTTACAATTCAATCTATGCAGAATAACCTTTCAAACAACTTGGGACTTTAAAACTAGCTATGCTTGTTTGCAGCTTATAGTAAAATTTGTGGCTCTTTTTGTGTTGTAACCATTAATATTGGCAGTTCATGTGTTTGTTTGTGTGTGTGTGTGTGTGTACAGATGTTGCACGTTTCCTTATGAGCAGGACTTGGGATTTTTCCTCAAAAAAGAGTTTACAACATTACTGTAGTTTCATATGTAGTCACGAAAGAAGCAGAGCCACCTAATTTTTTATTATTGCTAAAATGAGGTATCTTTCTTGACTTACTCCTTGCAAGACTTCTCTTTCAATTATGCCTTCTGTAAATTAGAGGCAGTAAACTATACTTGCCTCTAATATAGGGGTATTAAAAATAGTTGTAGAATCTAAGAGAGAGCCTAGAGATAATTTGCCCCAATTCCTTCATTTTACAGTGTAAGAAATGGAGGCCTAAAGAGGAAAGTGACTTAATTATTGAGTTCTCTGCATTTCTTAACAGCAGCTAAAAAAAGGTGGAGGATTTTAGTATGAATCCAGCGCTATTGGTACATACTGTATCAGAATATCACTGGTTCCTGTATTTTCATCATAGTTCAGAATTTGGGTAGCTTGCTTGATCAAATTCATTTAATGGATTAATGATATCAGCCTAACTTGTCTTTCTTATACTCATCCTTGGAAGGTATTCCTGGAATTTCAGGGCCAAAAGGTTACCAGGGTCTGCCTGGAGACCCAGGGCAACCTGGACTGAGTGGACAACCTGGATTACCAGGACCATCAGGTAAGTATGATAGACCCCCATAGCAATTGGATAGCTCATCCTGAACCCTGGAAAAGTAATTATGTATTTATCATGTGTGATGATGTTTTGGATCTGGTCATGACAATATGCTTGGGTAGCTGCTAAGATATGGAGCTCTCCCTTAGCAAAAATGTTGCCATTTGGCCCAAGTGTCAACAAGCAAGATTTGTAGGATATTTTACTTTGCTCAATTTCTTCTTTTGTGGCAACAGAATATACATAGAATCAGAAGTCCATCCAAGTAAAGTACTGTGTTTTATTTACATACATTGCAACATATGTAAATAAGGCAATTATCTGGTAGAAGAAGAATTCACCTTTTCCAGTTCTTTCCTTCAAACAAGTCAGTCATTAAACCATGTAAAACAGATGGCTGCAGATTCTATCTTGAAAATTTTCTAGGAATGAAAATGTCACAACCTGCCCTGGTAGTCTGTTACAGCGTTAATCACCCTTATAGTCAACGTGGATTTTTATAATTTCTAATAAAACTCTTTCATGCTGCTTCTTAAGCCATTTTTTTAAATTGGGCCCCTAAGGAATAAAGAGCTTCTGGTTCCCATCGTCATAAGATCCCTTTAGGTCAGCTGTTCTATTCTAGACTCTGCACTACATTGCCTTGGTGTAGTTGGAAAGAGAAATTCTCTCCTTTTCTATACTTCATATCTTCAGTGTTCTCTTCCCCAAGTTGGAAATCAGTGTGAAAGAAAAAAATAAATAAATGTTTAAGGCAACATTTTGGTCCTTGGAAAATACGTAAGTGATACCACAGAGCTCAGGCACCTAAGTTCTGGGAAAAATGTGTAAACAGAGCAACCATGACTGTTAGGGGTGAAAATCCAGTACCCCTCCCCATCAACCCCTATCTATCCCTGGCGTAACAAACTGGAGGTACATCATGACAGGTAACCACTTTCCTCTTCCTGGTCTCACATAGTCAGACTCTACATAGGAAAGCCACTTCTGAATCTTTTGAAAACAGACTCATTATATTGGATTTATCTGTGAGAAATGCAATAAGGGTAGTTGCGTACATACAACAAATAGGACTTCAGGCGACTGGAATTGTTTTAAAGCAAGGAACAAGGTGTCCTGGCAAAATTCTTGTGTTCTTAAAATAAATTTGTAATAGGAGACCTCTATTACCATGATTATATTGTAATATTTTCCTAAGAAGATTTCTTAGGTACCTCTTGCCTGTTTTATGCTGAATTAGATTCTTGGAACTTAATCACATATTAAGATTTGATCCATCCAAGCCCATACTTGCATTTTAATTATGATTATGACCCATTGCAAGAAACCAAGCAACTTCAATATTGCTGACTTGTCTTAATTTTACCAATTTGACTTTTCTAGGCCCCAAGGGTAACCCTGGTCCCCCTGGGACGCCAGGACTTACAGGACCTCCTGGACTTAAAGGAAACATAGGTGATATGGGTTTTCCAGGTGAGTGTTTAAAATCTCCCAGATATTTAGTCCCATTAATGGAAGATGGTTCACTATCTTTGTTACCAGCAAAGAGACTGATCTTGATAGAATCAAACTGAGACAATATCTAAGGTAATTAGTGGGTAGAGCTCTCTCATTACACAAATATTTGAAATAGGAATTAAGGGACAAAGTTTTAGAAACCTTAAAAGTAAGAATTCACAAACTTATGTCTTTTCCCCAGCTGTACCCCTTTCACTTAGACTTCCTTAAAAAATAGGCTTTTATATAATCCTGGTTGTAAAGCTCATTATTATATAACAGAATTTTCAGAGTTCTTTTTTAAAATCTTTTTGCTTGGTCATATGCATCACAGATACACCATGAATAAAGTATATTTTGTAAAATATTGCATGTTACATGTTTTTGGCAGGCCCTCAGGGTGTGAAAGGGTCTCCTGGATCTCCTGGAATTCCTGGACAACCTGGCACCCCAGGATTACCTGGACAGAAAGGAGAAAAAGGTGATCCTGGTGTTTCAGGCATTGGTCTTCCCGGTCTTCCTGGCCCAAAGGTAATCCTACTCTAGGCATATGCCTGAGCAAATGTGACTTTTCTTTGATACTGTGCTTGTTCCTAATTCTTCTTTAAACAAAGTATAGAATGACATAGTATATTATGGGCAAGAAATTAATTCCTCTTTTCTCTGATATTGTCAGAAGATATGTTCTAGGGTTTTCAGCCAGTCTAAAAATGGGGGAAATCTTTCTCATCCTCTGTTTTCCCTCTATCTTAATCTCTGAGTATGTTTTGGTAAACCAAAAGTATATTTCTGCCTGGTATTGATTTTCTTTTCCCTTTTTAGTGATGGAGTTGTTGATCTTTGTCCTATTATTACTACTAACTAATTTGTGTGGACTTATAAATAAAGTAACTTCTGTAATTAATGAAAGTTCAGTAATATTCTTAACCGCATATCTAAGGTAATTCCCTAAAAACAGTTTTACATATCTCTCTATGCCTCTGGTCAATGTGAAAACTTTGTTTTTGTTTCTCAAGCAATCAAATTTAGAACTTGTTTTAGAATCATTGTGGTCAACAAATATTTGATAAGTGCTTAGGTCCATGTGAAAAGATAACAACTCTTACTGATTTGTAAAAGTATTTTATAGCTAGCGGAGATGCATCCGTTGTCTATTATACATGTTGCAATTATTTTCTCCCAGTCAATTGTTTGTCTTATAACATTGTTTTAATCATTCATTTAGAGCACAAAGCTAGGGAGTATTAGAAAAGGAATTGTGTAACTCGACTTCCATGGAATTAGTGAAAATTGCCACTGAGATAAGAATTTACTGAATAATATTTTAAAGATAATTTCTTTTTAATGGTATACAGAAAGAATATAGTTTGATTGCCTTAGTCGATCAACGTATCATAAAAGATAATCAAGAGAAGTTTCTGCATATTAATTGCGGTTTAACAATATAAAGTTTATTGAAATGAACTTTAATTTTTTCCTATTCTATTTAAATTTTATCAATAATGCATGAATACATATTTTTATTAAAATAATAATACAGGCATATCAAGGATAAAAGTGAAAATCTTCTTCAGAACATCTCTTCTTTATTCTATTCACTTCCCCATAGAGAGCCACTGTTAATAGTTGGTGTGTATGTTTGAATCACTTCCTCTACATATTTTATATATATATATATACACACACACTCACAGAATTTTGGTTTTTCTATGCATTGCATGTATGTAGAGTCATAGAACACACTATTCTGTATGTTGCTTTATCACATATCTTTTAATCTTTCTTTATTCAATGTATCTTAGACAATTTTCTTTGTCATTGTACATTATTCTTTTTATTGAGGTAAAATTAATATATAACATTGTATAAGTTTCAGGTGTACAACATTATAATTTGATATTTGTATACACTACAAAGTGATCATCACCATAAGTTTGGTTACCATCCATCACTATACAAATGAGCCCCTTCACCCATTTCACCCACCCCATAACCCCCTTCCTCTCTGGTAACCACCAATCTGTTCTGTGTATCTATGAGTTTGTTTTTGTTTTGTTTTGTTTGTTCATTTGGTTTTTTTTAGATTCCATGTGTAAGTGAAATCATATGGTATTTGTCTTTCTCCATCTGCCCTATTTCACTTAGCATAATACCCTCAAGGTCCATCCATGTTGTCAAAAATGGCAAGATTTCCTTCTTTATTATGGCTGAGTAGTATTTAATTGTATGTATATTCCGTGTCTTCTTTATCCATTCATCCATTGATAGACACTTGGGTTGTTTCCATTTCTTGGCTATTGGAAATAATGCTGCAGTGAACATAGGAGTGAATATATCTTTTCAAATTAGTGTTTTCGTATTCCTTGAATGACTACACAGAAGTGGAATAGCTAGATCATATGGTAGTTCTATTTTTGATGAATCTGAATACTCTTTTCCATAGTGGCTGCACCAATTTGCATTCTGACCAGCTGTTTACAAGGGTTCCGTTTTCTCCGCATCCTCTTCAACACTTGTTATTTCTTGTCTTTTTGATAATAGCCAATCTAAAATGTGTGATGTGATGTCTCATTGTAATTTTGATTTGCGTTCCCCTGATAATTAGTGACGTTGAACATCCTTTCATGTACCTGTTAGCCATCTGTATGTCTTCTTTGGAAAAATGTTTAATCAGGTCCTCTGCCCATTTTTTAATCAGGTTGTTTGCTTTTTGTTGTGGGGTTATATGAGTTCTTTATATGTTTTAGATCTTAACCCCTTATTAAATATATGATTTGCAAATATTTTCTCCCATTCAGTAGGTTGCCTTTTCATTTTGTTGATGGTTTCTTTTGCTGTACAGAAACTTTTTTAGTTTGATGTAATCCAATTTGTTTATTTTTGCTTTTGTTTCCATTGCCTTTGGAGTCAGATCCAAAAGAAAATCACTAAGACCAGTGTCCAGGAGCTTACTGCCTCTGTTTTCTCCTAGGACTTTTATGGTTTCAGGTCTTATATTCAAATTTTTAATCCATTCTGAACTAACTTTTGTGTATTGTGTAAGATAGTGTCTGGTTTCATTCTTTTGCATGTGACTGTTCAGTTTTCCTAACATCGTTTATTAAAGAGACTCTCCTTCCCCACTGTATATTCTTGGCTCCTTTGTTGTAAAATAATTGACTGTGTATGTATGGGTTTATTTCTCAGCTATGTATTCTGTTTCATTGATCTATGTAGTCTGTTTTTATGCCAATACCATACTATTTTGATTTCTATAGCTTTGTAATATAGTTTGAAATCAAGGTACATGATACCTCCAGCTTTGTTCTTCTTTCTCAAGATTGCTTTAGCTGGAGGTATGTTCCCTCTATACCCACTTTGCTAAGAGTTTTTATCATAAATAAATGTTAAATTTTGTCAAATGCTTTTTCTTTGTCTATTGAGATATCATATGATTTTCACCTTATGAACCTTATCATTCAATCTTGCCCTAGCTTTTGGTTATCCCTTAGGCCTTGTTGATTGTCTAGGTAGCCTGATTTGTCCTTACTAGATCTCAGTTGTTGAGAGTGTGCTAAGACCTGTCAGTGTTCCAAAGGGAGGGATCTCAGACAGTGCATAGTTTCAGGCTAATCGTAAGCCATCTCCTCAGGCAGCAGCTTTTAAGGTATACAAATATATACAGTTTGCGGGTCTGAAATCATAAACCCTGTTGACTTCCAGACCAGGAGATCCGAAGTGTCTCCTAGGCAACAGTTGCAAAAGTGTGGCTTTATATATGCATATAAGCTCCTTTCTGGTAGGAATCAGCCAGCTGTGGCAAGGCCAAGGGAGAGTGCTAATATGGTTTTTCCCTACCAGCGTTCTGTTGGAGTGCCTCTGTAACCTCTAGATGTGTGGCAAACCTGTGGCCTTCCCCTCAAGCTGAAGCTCCAGGACAAGAAAATAGGCCTTTTTCATGTGAAGACTGTGGATGTGTTTCAGTCTGCTGTTTGTGCAGTGTCCTGGGGGTGGTAGTTTGCCAAGAACTGTCTCTCTGATTGTTTCCGGTCTGTGGGGCCCAGAAACACAATTCTCCCTGGCCACCAGAGGCAGGCAATCAAAGGGCATCCCTTGTGTGGGCTATGCATGCCTGCCTGCTGGAGCAGTCAGCCTGGCTGTGGTTTGTGGGGGGCAGGGCAAGCTGTGGCTGCAGGGTACAGGAGTGGGGCACTCCCAGTGGAGAGAGCAGGCTAGAGGGGTGGGTGTGAAAATGGTGCTGATCAGCACTGACATCAACAGGACAGAAGGAGAATGCTTTTTGCATTTTTTGGCACCCACTAGTACCTCCATCCCCAGAAGAAATCCTAACAGGTTTTTGCCTCTCCAGCAGAGACAGTTTGAGATTAACAAATGACTCTCCTTTGCATATGGTCTAGGCGCATTTCAAACTATTGCTTTTGCACCAGGTGCCTGGGTGAGTGAATCTGTGTGTGATCTTATTAAAGCAGATTTTCTGTTCCTTGTAGCTCTATGGTTCTCCTGGAAGTAAGCCTCATTGGTTTTCAAGGCCAGATGTTTTGGGGGCTCATCTCTGGTGCAGGTCCTGAGGGTTGGAGTGCCCAATGTGCGGCACAACCCACTCACTCTCCAGGGACAAGCTCCATATTATAAGATCCCTCCTGACTCTGGATAGCCACGCCTGGGGTGGAGTTTCTTTTGATGTGTTTCCACATATCCAACTGGTCTCAGTGTGGCCCTATTTTCTTTTATTGTGGAGGCACTGCTCAGCTAGCTTTCAGGTCCTTTTCAGAGTGAATTATTCCATATGTACCTATAGATTTGTTGTGTTTGTGGGAAGAAGTGAGTCCAGGATCCTTCTAAGCTGCCATCTTGAACCCTCCTAGTTGTACGTTATTTGTAATGGCTGTATAATATTCCATTATTGTTGCATATAATATCATAATGAACATTTTTACATGTATCTTTGGAAATATACCATTATTTATACTGTATAGATTCCTAAAAGTGAAATTGCTGGGTCAAAAGATAAGTGCATTTAAATTTTTGTCTTTTTAAGTTTTTTTTTTTTCTAAGATTGGCCCTGAGCTAACATCTGTTGCCAATCTTCCTCCTTTTCCTCCCCCCAAAGCCCCAGGACATAGTCATATATCCTAGTCGTAAGTCCTTCTAGTTCTTTTATGTGGGATGCCACCTCTGCATGGCTTGATGAGCAGTGCCAGGTCCCTACCCAGGATCTGAACCAGTGAACCCCAGGCCTCCAAAGTGGAGCACGTAAACTTAACCACTACACCACTGGGCTGGCCCCTTAAGTTTTGATATTAATTGCAACAAATGAACTTGATTTTAAAAATCAACCAATACGAAACAATGTAAAATGAGAAGTCTTCTTTCCACACATTTAATACCCCAAATCAACAGTTCTTCCCCAAGGTAACCACTTTTCTAGGTCCTTTTGAACTTATCCAGAGAGGATTTTTATGCATATATATGCATCCATATAAGATAGATATTTCATTAATTTTAGCTCTCAATTTTTTACATTTAAAATT